GCGGTGATTTCTAAAAAAAAAAAATGTAGATAGTCATTTGAATGAACCTATATAAGATAAAAACCAACAATTAATTTCCGCTACTCGTAACTAGATGACGTTATTGTGCTAGGAATCGATAGCTGTCGTCAAATAGTCTTTATTTACTTTTCATAATTTTTACTCAATTCATAGAAAAATAATATAATAACTTAAAAAAGAACAAAAGGAGTAAAATTTTATGATCGAAATGAGTTCCTTTTTTTTATATCTTCACCAGAATGTGAAAAACTACTGAAAGAATTACGAAATTTAATGAAATAAATACGAGATGTATATTCACTGTTTTAATTTTGTTACAAACGTTTTAACAGTAAATTTCTTAAAAAATAAGTAAAAGTAGGAAAATGTATTATCAAAAATAATATTCCGATACCGGGAATCGAACCCGAGCCTCCTGGGTGAGAGCCAGGTATCCTAGCCACTAGACCATATCGGATATGTTTATGAGTTTAAAAATACAAATTATATCAAACGATTCACTCACGATTAATACATTTATGTTAAAGTTTAACAGGCATTACGTCAAATATGTAAATTGTCCAAATGTCCATATTAGTTAAACGTACGGCAAAACTGGCCGTCACGGCCGCCGATTGCCGCATTTAATCCCAATTTTTTTTTATATCTCCAAGAGATCGATATCGGCCTTTTGGGGATCATAATGACAGATGATAATTTTCTTAAATGAATATTTCAACGCAAGGTATTATTATAGTTTTCAAAATCACAATATGTTGACTTCCCTCATTCATAACGTGTGTATATGCGTGATAATGAGCTAATGATGGTATCAATATTTACACTTACATTGAGATTTTTTTAAAATTATCGCTACTTGATAGCTTTCACCGAGATTGTTAGAAGAAATCATTTTGTACTACCGCCTTTGTTAGCAAGGTCCGTTAACGCCCATTCGTGGTTATTTTTTAATATAACCGATACAGTCAGAATTAATGGTGTTATGGTCGTGAAACATTGCAACTTTCCATACAATTAATTATTTTGTTCCAATTCAAAAAACAGTTTCTATTATTTTCTTTACAATATATTTCTGATTTAATTATCTATACATTAATTATAATGAATTATTGAATATTATTATAATTTATTATCATTTATAGATAAATGATAAAAAAAATGGCTGTCTAATAAATTATAAAAATCTAGCCATAGCTGTAAAAGCACGTTACACTGATTTCATCATACTTTTATGAGCATGTTTTATATTATTTATATATCGTTTTTCTAAATTCGTTTTTTGATTAAGTATGTGAATAATAAAATAAGAACATTATAAAAAAATGGAAGGGTATTTCTTGATAAAATGAGTAAAAATATAGTTTTTTATAGCTGTCTGTTATAACGAGAGTGCTAGACAGTTGATATCGGTCCAGAATGTTGAAAGATAACGAGAACGTTGGTATATCAACGTTATCTTTATCTTTCAATATTTATCTATCCGATACAATAGAAATATATTAATTATTAGATTGTCATTTTTAATTGACACGTTTCTATGATTGCAGCCAACAATTTCCTGACAAATTTGTTAACATTATCTCGGAAACGTGATATTTTAGGAGATTTTGCCAATAGTAAATCGTGTTCTATTGATGTCTATGTCGTAGCCTAATCGTAGAATTTGCCAATACATGATGCGGCTTGGCAGGAAAAAATGTTGCTGCCCACATCATTTCGGGCAGCAATATTATATTTTTAGGTTATGTTATTACTTTCATTTTTAGGTTATACAACAAATTAAAGAAAGTAGGGTGACAAAGCAACGGAAAACAATTACTTGATTAAGTTTAGTTTTAATGATGGTAAGAGTGTAGTACGGAGGTGCGGCAGCAAAGGCTATTCTATAATTTCATGGATATATCGCAAGATTATGATAAAGACAGGATATTTGTCTAGCTGCTGAGGATGATAAGTGTATATTTGTGGATATAAACGTTTTTGAGATATGAACTGAACTAAATTCCCTACTGTAGGTCACGTCCTATCACGTTAAATTTAAGACAATCGCGAAATGTAGCGTAGTGATCGTATTGAATTTTGAGTTATTTTTTGTCAGACCATAAAATCATAACGCTAACATATAAACAAACTATTTTAGCAAATAATTAAATTTTAGGTTGCCGTTTCATTCATAGAATGAAATGACTGTACTATACATCATTAATGAATTCACTTGACGTATGTAGTAAGACAAAAGTTATGTTATATCCGCAAACCTGCTTTTCCAGCTTCGCTTGCAGCTACAACCTTTCTGATACATTATACGATTTATCAAGAGTGTTACTGTCAATTTTGATATAGATAAAATAATTATAAAGATACATCATATTCTAGTTTTATAGCCTGTATTACGAGGGTCAAACTGAAAGTTCTTAGAAAATCAAAAACTGATTACATTAGCCAGTTATTAGTTTTATTATATCTTTTCAAAATATTGTCCATTCACGTCAATACACCGCTGCATGCGATGGAACCACTGGGAAAAGCACTTTGCCCACTCGTCCTTAGGGGTCTCTTCAATGGCATCGCGATACGCAGCCACCGCTTCTTCAGCATTCATAAACCGATTTCCTTTAAGTTTTTCTTTAATTTTTGGAAATAAATAAAAATCACAAGGCGCGAGGTCGGGGCTATACGGCGGGTGACCCAGTAATTCAACGTTTGATGTCGCCAAATAGTCGATCGTTCGCTTGGCGGTGTGCGACGAGGCGTTGTCGTGGTGAAGGAGGATCCTACTGCGAGGTCGTTTCTCTCGAACTTTTTCCAAGACAAGTGGCAAACAATTGGTAGTGTACCATTCTGCAGAAACTGTTTTTTGATCCTCTAACACAATTGTTGCAAAATGACCTATCCTTCCAAAGAACGAGGCCACCATTTTTTTTCCCGCACTTCGATCTCTCTTCACTTTAGTTGGCAACTCCTCGAAAGGAAACACCCACTGAGCAGATTGTCTTTTGGTTTTAGGATCATAACAGTAAATCCAGCTTTCGTCACCTGTTAGTATGTCGAACACAGCATTTGAGTCACCTCCGTTAAATCTTTCAATCATTTTACGACACCAATCCACACGATGGAGTTTTTGAGCCTCAGTCAAATTATGAGGTATCCACCGGGCGCAAAGCTTCCTGACCGCTAAATGTTCGTGGAGGATTTTGTGCACTTGACTCATACCGATGCCTAAGCTTGTCCGAATCTGTTGATAGGTCACTCTTTTGTCAGTCTCTATCATACGCCGCACAACACAGATGTTATCTTCAGTCGTCGCCGTAGAAGGCCGTCCCTCACGTAAATCATCAGTGAGATTAGTGCGACCACGTTTAAACTCATTAAACCAGTTGTAAACAGTCGCACGAGATGGGGCTTCATCGTGAAAGGCCAATCGTAGTCTATCATAACTTTCTTGTTGACTTAAATGACATCGAAAGTCATAAAAAATCATTGCACGAAAATTTTCTCGTGTTAAATTCATGATGACGTGACACAGACAATTTTCAATTTGCCGCCAAATCGTAAAACAAATGACAAATGAATGAAATATATACTCAGTAATATTGGCAAAGAGTTATATTTTCAAATTTTAGAATTATTTTTTTATTATATTGTTTATAAGTGGCCAGTTCTAAGAACTTTCAGTTTGACCCTCGTATAAAAGTAGATTATGAATTAAAATTTGGTCAACCTGTTGGAGCAGATAATATCTTTGTAGATTGGAGTCAAGGGTATAGTGGTATGTCACATACATTATAGCTCAGTCTTAGGTGTATTGTCTTATGTATTGACAGCAAAGTGGCATTACGAAATCGAATTGCGGACGAATGAAACGAAAGCGGCCTTTGCTATCTTTGTGTCGCTCGGAACTATCAAATGCTTTTTTTTTAATAGTAATTCAACCTTTTTACTTTTAACAGTGAAAGTTTAATTGGACCATGTGTATAATGGTTTAAATATCTTACGTCCTCCATTCGTTATAATAACAAAAAGTATTACAAAAACAAAAGTTAACAATGTAAATAGAAGATGCCTTTGTTAAGTGAAAGTGTGGGCTAACAGATATTACGGTTAGAATTTCCCGGTTATTTAAACTTATTACGTTATTTTATAGTAAATATTGAAATTACCAGGGTCCATTTTATTTTATTTTTTTGGGTTTCCTAAGAAAAGATTCATGAAAATGTAATACTTATCATTGATTATTCACGAATGTAAAATGATAATAAAGAATCTGCGAGTGACTCTACGTATGAAGTAATATAAAATTTATAAAATGATTTCTTTTTGAAATATATAAAAATTCACTTGTTTCTGATATTTTGACGCACAATACTCATAAAATATAGCGACGATTGTATTTTTCAGAAGTTTCGGATCCTTTACAGGTTTCGTGTTCGGACTGAGATCTCGACTGTCTTTTTAGTCAAACTAAATATATAGATATAAGTTTATAATAGAATAAACAATTTCCCGAGCTCGTTTACTGTAAAATAATGACATTCCATCAAACGTGATGGCTTAACATATCTGCAACAACATCTCAGAGCATTCTATACTTGCCGATTATGTTTCATACTAACCGCGATTACATAGACTAGTCGGCACAACACAGCCGCTTGTTACAATCTGCGTTGTGAAATAAGTGGTAGTAGAAAGTGCCCAGTACGAAGCACGAGTATCAATTTTACTTCATACTGTCATTACAGTCTTCGATTTTGTTTTGAAATTGATGCTGGACAAATTGCTGCACTTGTTATTTTATTTTAAAATAACTTGCTTATTTTATTTTAAAACGGTAGCATTTCTATCTTTTTGAATAAATTAGACAGTGAGTGCTAAGTAGCCCAAAATATCTTGGAATAAGAAATGTAAAATTGTTCCATGAAATAAGTCTTTTTTCTAAATTTGGCTATTTGATACTAACCAAATGTTTTCTTTTGTTACAGTGACAAATCAGCTGGCTATACCGGTTTATGTGATCAACAAAATGTCATAAGTTTCAACAAGTTCCATAATCTAAAGTGCCATGAGGACGTTTCAACTAATATGAAGGTGTAAGAAATATATAACGAAATGGCGATAGTTCAAGTGACATTAGTGAGTGCAGTGCTTAGTGCAGTGTTGGTGTGTGTGTGGGGTCATGTAGCTTTAACTTATCCACCTGCGAGAAGATTTGATTTGGACTTTTTGGACAATTCAAGAACAAAGCCGCCATGTGGGATGCCAAAAGGTAATTTTTTAAAAGGTTTTATCAATTTAAATAACAAAATACTTCCATAAAGTAAGATCATAAAATATTACTAATACGGTATTATAATATCTGTGATAATAACATAACTTAATAATCATTTGCGAAATAAAATTATACTTACTGCTAGGAGAACCTTCAGAATTATGCAAACTTCGTTGACCAGCATAAAGTGAGAATCTGGAGTTGCTTTGAGTTTTCTAAATTTTATATAATTTTGGTTGATAAATAAAATAATTACTACTCCTGTAATTGATAAATAAAATAATCACGGAAGTGGAATTCTGAGTTAAGAACCGAATCTGTTTGATAGAACGATAAGTTTTATGATAATTTTAAGCATTTGTCATTATGAATTTAACAATAATAATAAAACCCCAAAAGTATACCTATTAAGAAATGATTATTTGCTGTTGACTAGGGTATTACAATATGATTAAAAAAGTGAATACTTTGCTAAATTAACTTAAATGAACGAAAGTGGGATCATAGTGTGCCTGGAGCTGGGCATACGTGAGCAGCCTTGAGAATTCCTGTGACAATTGAATAAATTAATAACTTAAATATGTTTAAGCGTTATTTACCTAAATACGCGTCAAATAACGGCTGAACTCTGCTAAGCAATCACAATGAAAAAGTTATCGAGTCACATGCAGACAACGATCTCGAGATTAATGTTATGAAAAAAGATGATTGTCGTGCTGTCGTCGACTCGATCTAGGCATTGTGGCGTCTGTTTACATTCTAGAACGGCCTCGACCTAGGTCGGTGACCTGGGCCTGACTCATGACGGTATCTCTTCAGGTACTAATACAATTGTTATATTAAAGCAGATAATACGTTACGGCTTTAAGCTTATTACCATTGTTGTCAAACTTTGTATTATTCTGCTTATTATAAAATCTTCAACAATATCTATTTGATATGTGATGATTTAAAACAAATGTTTTTTTCTATTCTAGTGTATTTATATTATTATATTATGCTAGTCAGCTTTATACAACTTTATAGCGACGTTTGATCCATTTAACTGATTAAAAATTGATATTTTACCCGGCGACCGTTCAAACGGGCCAATATTTCGGCCATTATACAATACTTCCATCGATCCATATTCGCTCCCACACAACTCCGTACCACATATTCTGTGTCCGTACTCTCATACATACCTGTACATATTGACCGCTGCCGATCAGTGGCGTTACTGAAATTGTTAAGTGTCTGTGACAATTTTAAAATGATCCGTTGTAGCTATCACATAATTTCAGCTTATCTGCTTATCGCAGTCGTGGCCGAGTGGTTAAGGCGTCTGACTCGAAATCAGATTCCCTCTGGGAGCGTAGGTTCGAATCCTACCGGCTGCGTACTTTTTGTAGATGTGTTTTTACTTATCTTTTATTGATATTCTCGAAAATTTTGATAAATGCTTCATTTTATAATAATATGGAATTAACAATGCTGTTTATCTAATAAAAGAAAATATAATTTTACATATTTAAAAAAATTGAAAACCTATTTTGGCAAGCTCAAAATTAATAAGAGAATATTATATTATAAATCGTTTCACGAAAGAGTTCCATTAGCATAGGATCAATAATTGCTTTTGTAATAAAAGCGAAAACATTTTTATCCGAAGGACTTCTTTCGTGAAATATGCGATCCATTTTGAGTTACTTTTGTTTGACACCTTCACAACTAGTAAACTATTTCATCTACATTAATTAAAGCCTCCTAGCTTATAAAGGAATTTAAATGGATATCTGTAACTCACTGATTCAGTCATCAAAAACCTAACCCACTTTTAAATAATAACCTAGAAATTTGGTACGAAAGGAAGAATAATTCCCGAGTGAACACAGAACTTTAATTCTTTTGTCGGTGAAGTTGAGATGACATATTATTCAATATTGAACTCTATATTTCATGGGATCTAGCAGAGAATTCAGAATTTAGTCTAAGTAGTTAGTCTTAGGAATATTGTAAAGTTTGTTCAATAGACCTGTCACGCTATTCTGTTATAAAAACAGCTTCGAACTCAACGCCTTTTTAATGAAATTAACCTACTTTTAAAGTGACAGCGCTGCCTTTGTAGAAGAGTTTAAGGCTGTTTTTTTAAGTATTAATTGTCACTGTCCAATAGGGTCCTATTTTACATTTTGCGAGTAGTCTAGCCTATTTATTTCATTAGACTGGCTTGATTACTGGCTTGAGGATTGTCTCCATTTAAACAGATCCAATACTGGACTGGCATAATGGGCTTTCTATACTACCACTACCACTGGCCTTGTGTAAGTGGTCCATAAGGATGGGATGGAAAGTCTGTTGCGCGCGCATCTCATCCTTTGGAGGATTGGACCCATGTTTGAGGCTGCCACGTCACAGGACCGTGTGGCCTAATGGATAAGGCGTCGGACTTCGGATCCGAAGATTGCAGGTTCGAGTCCTGTCACGGTCGGTTGGCTCACAGCAGTCTTGTTTTTAGTAAATTTTTATTGTTTAAATGGCTGCCAAAACAAGGATGATGGAATAGAATTTTTTTATTGTTAACATTACAAAATAATGTTACGATATACACATACAGAGTATAGGATTAAGTACCTCCTTTTATTTGTGGGAATATTATACTTTTTCGTGAGCATTTATTACATTCACGAAAAACTTATAGTTCAATATTCCCATAGAAAAAAAATAATAGGCTTGTCCATTGCAATCGAATAAAATAATACGCCACTTTATTTTTAATTTGCCAATAAGACCGACACTCAAATCGATAGCAGAGTCACTAAGATTTGTAAAAGGTCATTAGTCCACTAAAGTGAATAAACAATTACCTACCTACCTATAAATTATAAGTCTTTAGCAATTATGACCTGCAATAAATAAGTTTTCATTCCAATTAGGTGGTATAAAGTGTGAAATCAATTTGTTATAGGCACTACGATCACTTACAGATTTTTTATCTAAAAATCTCATAAAATATAAATGATTCGAACTTGCTACGTAGATAATTAACAATTAACTTTGATTATCTGTAATCTTAGATTTCTCTTATCCATTATGTGCTCGCGGCTTTTATACCGGAATTCTACAAGTTGAAAGTACATTTCATGCAAAAATTACCTACTAGCTAAGGTGTCAAGTTATCTAATTAAATTACTTAATAAAAAATGGGGAAGTTGGCAATTAACCATGAGATTTGGGCTTAGTTGCATAAAGAAAATGTTTTGTTATAAGAGCTAAACTGTCACAGTAAAAATATCGTTAACACGGTAATATTTCCCATGAACACAATAGGTCGCCAGTAAACGAGTTTTCTTTTGGGAACACTTGCGACATCTGCGCGTACTTGCGTAATCTATCATAACTGATGTCATCTCTATTAATTTCGCTATTAGCCACTTGATGGTGCTACTAGTAGTTATAATTATGAAAGGACATTGCTCAACGTCCATACATTGGTGGCCCCAGAGCCAAAAAAATATAGGATAGTACTTATTTTATTGTGTGTCACTAACTAATTCTCATTATGTATTTATTATACCGCGACCGAGTTTTACAACTTATTATCACGCAAAATATAATTCATTTTGAGGTTATAACTTGTTTGGAAAACCATCAAGAGATGGCACTCTAAGTACATGATATGATATTGATGTCTATATTGTCGAAGCAAAAAAACTCAACTTTAAGAAAGTCGGTTTTTCGTTATGATTTGTAAAAGTTTCTAAGTCAATCAATAGACAAATAAATCATTTTAATAGTTAAATAATATACCTATTGATAAGCTTAAAATTAAAAAAACCTATAGCTTTTTGATGGTTTACATCAAAAGATGGCGCCTTAAAAAAACATAAATGACACGATGTTAATATGTTTACGAGAAATATAAAGGTAATATAATAGAAACAAAGTAGTTCTTAGGATATGTCGTATGACAACAGTTAATGAATTTAGTTTGTATAATATTCAGTTTTTATGTCCTTATGTTTTAGTTGGAAAATCACCAAGAGATGGCGCTTTTAATGAATTTAAGTTTATTTTCGGTCAATTTAATGTTTTTGTGTTCGATGATTTAAAGGTTATCTTATAAAAATAAATCCTCCTTATCCATCCATAAGGAAGGCCTGAGCTCCTGCAGTGGGGACGTAAAAGGGCTGGTGGTGGTGGTTATAAAAATAAATGATCTTCTTGATCTGACGTGTAAATTACATCCATCTGACTCAATAGAATTTAAGTATATTGAATTTGAATATTTGCGAATAAAAATGTTACTGTTAAACTACTTTTAAGTATTAATTTTGGATCGCAGCTTGTCCGTGTCAAATAAATATTTGATTCCAATTTAATAAATAAATTAGTAATTATTATTGAAGTATTAATATTTAATGGTATTGGGGCCATTTTCGGCGATGTCCTTTGGTTCTTATTCGTTAATTTTTTTATCATTATCCATTATTTATTGAACCTCTTTTGTTTCAGGAACATTAAAAACTTCTTTCCTTGCCGGTTCAACATTTACAGTGCACTGGCATTTGGCGTACGCACATCGAGTGAGTTGTAATATAATAAGTATTTAACTTTGAGAATTGGGACTAGATAGTTCGTTACAGTAGGACCTCGTTAAGTCGAACCTCGATAAGTCGAAAACCTCCGAATCTCGAAAAAATGTTTTGTTACCTTCCCTTCAAACACCAAAACCTCCATTACTCGAAATTTCAACCCTCTATTAGTCGAAATAATCAGTGAGTCCCTGTAAGCCATTTTGGTAAATATTTTCCCTCTATAACTCGAAAAATTAAATTGGACCTCTGTATATCAAACATAGCAATGTTTGATTTTACAACCTTTACAACTCGACTATTTGAAACTTATCACCTCTATAGCTCGAAGAAAAGTACATACTCCATGCGCTCCATGGGTTTCCATCAAAGAGGCAAGAACAGCATTGAATACTTTACGGAATTTTATAGAGCAAACCAGCAACTCTGAAGAAAAAGAATTTTCTGCTCTTTATAATGGTATAAAGAGCAGAAAATTCTTTTTCTTCAGAGTTGCTGGTGGACAATGCTATATATAGAGAACAACCAAACTATCTAAAACAAAAAAAAATTACTGACTTCTTTTAATGACATATTTTTTATTTAAGGATGTTTTGAACATTGTTGATTTGTAATACAAAAATTATAATATGTTTATCACCTCTGCAACTAAAATTTTTATTTATTTTACCTCTCTAACTCAAAATAATAAGAATGAATCTCAACCTCTTTATGTCGAATCAAAATCCGCCTAAGTCGAAATCCTCTATAATTCGAAAACTCTATAACTCGAATTTTTTGGCGTCTCCCTTGATGTTCGACTTATAGAGGTTCGACTGTATATGATAATTTAATATCAATTTTTTCTATATATACTTTTAGGTAATTTATCTTGAAATATTTATAACATCAATATGAACCCCACGTCAAAGCATACATATATCCCACGTCAGAGCACGTCGTTTAATTATATATTTAAACCATTGTTAATACCGCCAAAACCATATTATGTTCGTTTGCAGGGTGGATTCAGTTTGAGGATATTGGATGAGTTGGAGAGGCCAGTTTTAGACTTAACACCACGTGCTGCGGGCTCGGAATTCGTAAGAGACGACGTCACGTAAGTAACTTTGCAATCAAGTTATACAGACGAGACAATCGCTGTTATTGTAAAGTGAATAATTTTAGCTTTGCATAGTTTATGTAATCTCTGTCGCGGAAAACGCTAACGGTTTTAGGTTATTTTAAGTGCGGTAAATTCCAAAACTCGGTGTCCAATATTTATCATTATGTCATATAAAAATCTGAAAATAAGGGTATCACTATAAATTCACTAATAAGGCCAATTTCATCTATAAAAAAATTACAATAACTAGTCCCACGTTGGGCGCCAATGTCTCGAGTCCAGGTGGTAGGGATGCGCTTTAGTAAAAAATAACATCTAGATGATATGGGTAAAGATTGCAGATAGAGAAGATACATAGAATGATCCCCGTGTGATGATCGCTTAGCCAAAATAAAGGGAGTATTTGCGTAGACAGGTTGTGTGTACCAATAACACACGGATATTTATATGCTTATTATTCTTGGTGCGAACTACGGAGTATGAATAAACATCAAATCGGCTCGTCTTCACCGTAACACATGATTTTTACACGTATCTGCTCAATTACTCATAAATGAACGTATAAAAGCATATCATGTTTAAAATATGAATAAATCATGATTTAATGGACCCAAACTTCTTTTTGATTTCAGTTTAATTGGTCAATCCTCGAGGATTAATTAGTTTGATTATCATACTCGCACTTTCATTTCCAGAGCTCAGAAGTATGAAGTTCGTCTTCCGAATGACTTCACGTGCGAGAATTGTACATTACAGTTGCAGCGAGAGGCCGGCGAGTGGGGAGCTAACTACAGATTCTGGTCATGCGCAGACATCGACATATTACCCCGTTAGTATAGCTGATTTATGAAAGCCTCATATCAATATTCATAACACAACCAAATTCCAGAACAATTTTTCATTTATTATATACCTACCTTACTATTCCAATACTTTGGTTTCTTGTAGTATTAAATAAAAAAACATGTTGCTTGTATGATGGAGGTTTATTGAGTGCACACATCAATTGTAATTAACATTGTACATAATTTTAACTGAATAAGCATAACGTGAGTTACTTATGTACGTAAACAGCGAGAAATAACACAAGTTCAGTTTAGTATGGTATCTATGCACTAACATTTACGTGTGTGCTTATTACACACACTTCACCTCCCCCGAAAAGATACTGCTACCCCTCCGCTCACTAAAAAGAAAAACTTAAAAATAACAAATTTTTGAAACTACTTTGAACAATATTTATAAGAAAATAATTTCTAACATTTATTGTAACGAGTTATACATTTTGAAAATTGTTGTACAAGCATGTTTCTTTATTCGTAAAATAATTTTGTATTATTTTTGTGGACAAGACATTCTTTATTTCCTTTTTTAATTTTCACATTTGAAGATACATCTTCTATGACTTCAAATGGACCATTATATAGTCTATCCAACTTAGATTTTATTTGGTTTTTTAATAAAATTAAATCACCTTTTTTATACTTTACAGAATTAAAATGCTTATCGAATAAGACCTTTCGTAACTGTTTACTTTGTAAAAAAATTTCTTTAGCATCGAAACGTGCTTTTTGTAATCGATATTTTAAATCTAAAACATAATTACCAAAATTATATGATGGATCTAAAGTTCTATATAAATTATTAGGTAAGTTGTTAATTAAAACAGCTGCTTGCAACTGAAACTGTCAATTTTTTCACAAATCAATGGTTTCCGAAATTACAACAACACATCTTTTTGTAAAAGCTGTTTTGAGATATTACTTCTTGTATTTACGTAATCGAAATCAGATAAATTATTTTTTTATGATAATATTATTTACTTCCACCACAAACCAGTACAATTAATATCCAGTTATGTTCCTATTTGAACGTTTTACCTCATTACTTACTTTAATATTTCACGGCAGTATCACATTCAGGAGTGTCGTAAAACGGTTGCATTCCACATCGTACCATCCCAGTGGTGCAACATCTCTACCTATTTACGAGTTGGAATGATAACTACGTTATAATTATAGTTGCATTCATATTATTATTACCATTAGCAGCTTGACTATTCTTTTTATAGGGATGTGCACTGCAACAGAATATCAAATAAATAGAACTTTTGGTCCTTTTAAAGTAGATTTTATTTTTAAAAGGTAATAACGGTTCTGATTGACCCTGTATTTTTAATAGAATATCACTATAACTTACACAAGTCCATGGCTAATGATATCGAGATAATGTATATAAAGGTATATAAACCAAGCCATCTTTTACCCTCCAAGCCATACGACTGTGGAATAGTCTCCCTGACCCCATCAGAAGATCTCCCAATAAATTTATTTTTAAACGTAAAGCTCATGCCTTTCTTATGAAAAATATGTGAAATTCATCGTCAGTATTATGTATCTATATTTGTGCTATTGTGTGTATATATGTATATATATATATAGTAGGTATATATATATATATATATATATATATTTTTTTTTAGTCTGTTTCTATTTCTATATTCTATGCATAGTTAATCTTTTATTAATGCCGCCATCGCGTTTATCGTTTTTCCTAAAGGTTGACTGGGAGAGAATGCCATTAGCATTAAGTCCGCCTTTTGTACCTTTTTTTATTACGGGTCAATAAAGTTTAATAAATAAATAAATAAATAAACTGCTATAATCAGCCGAGCAGTTGGGCGGCTAGCCCCTTTATTGAATGGCGCCAATTCAATTACCGAGCCGACTTCTGTAATCAATACAGATACACGAATGATAAAAAAGATAATATCAAACTGCTTATTCGCGACTGCCAATACAGGAAGCTAAGCTAAACTTTCATAATAAATTTTTAATACTAATAAAATTATACAAAGACAAGACATACCGCAATTCAGACGGCCACAGTATTTGACTGAGATTGTCTTCGTATGTTTATAAGATTTCGAAGTTTGGTGCTACAATAGTTAGTAACAGCATAAAATGATAAACAAAGAAGTTATTTTGGTCGTGTGGGACACGCGATAGGTAAGAAATTTAAGGCGATCGCTACGCTGCGCTTTGCAGCATTCTTTAATTCAAAAACTTCCAAGGTATTATTTTAACAGATAATAAAACTTAATGAATGTTTTCAAATCAGCTGTCTTGTTATAATTATTCAACTAGAAAAATAGGCGTGTAATTGAGTGGCGTCATTCAATAAAACGGCTTAATCTTTTGAATGTGACATATATATCTCCTGTGCTTCCTCTGATGATGACTTATATAATATGATCATGAAATGTGTAGCTTAAGACAAGCAGTTGAACTAATCGGCATAATAATTACCGTTTATTTCTTTTTATTTACGTTTCAGTTTACTATAATGTAAAACTTCACTAATGGCTTTTTAAAATTGAATAGTTCTCCAGTGCTTAGCAAAAGTTGTTTCTTTAAAAAACAAATAATTGTATTTCCATTGTTGCGTTACCAACAAAGGAATTCCTTAATGAATTGAATTATCATATATATTAGTGTCAAGATTTTAATCAAATAATTTATACTTTAAGCCTAAGGATTAAGAAAGTGAATGTGACAAGGGCGACGCTTATCTAATAACTGGTTTTATTAGGGTGGTATTAATGATGTAAAATAAATATTGCGTGATTGCCCACCCGCTGATGTGCCCACAACTCTATTATATTTATTAAACTATTTTATTGAAATTTTAAAGTGTCTACGCAGGTGGTCGAGCATTTATATTAGAAATAAATTTATACTTAGAAACTGAGATTACGTACGTAAATACCACCTTCTCTGCTATTTCAGACGCAGATTATAGCGGCAATAATAATGTTGTAATAACATGCAGTTCGTGTTACAGAATATTCATTAAAATTAGAAATGGGCGTTAAAATTCTAAACTAATGTTTTCTCATTTATAATACTGCAATTGCTTAGAGTTCTTTGTGTAAAAAGCTGAAATAGGACTAAAAAGAAAACGCTTACTCCATTTCACCTTCTAAATGGCTTTTAGGCGTTAGGTTTGATTACTACCAAGTTTTTTAGTTTAAGATTGATAGCTTACGTTATATTTTGATATGAGTGCCTACATTATTTAATAAAAAAATACTTGACTCCTTTTCTATTTCTACAAACAGTTGTTTTGGTAATTTTGTAAATCTCAGCAATTATTTCATATTATAATTAACAAGGTTGTAATGTTTTACATAACAGGTAAAGAGTACCATGAGACGTGTTCGGGTCACGGTTTCCACATACTGGGTCGCTGCAAATGCAATAAGATGTATTCAGGTCCCCGGTGTCAGTTCACCGATGAATGTTTGGAGGACAACGACTGTGGTCTGCGAGGCAAATGTATCGATGTCAACGCAACCGAGTCGCCAACCAAAATGTGCTACTGTCCATTTGGATTTTACGGGAAAGGGTGTAATAAAAGTGAGTGATGGTTTTTTTATTAAACTAAAATCTGGACAATCTGCAAATCTTTAAAATTTATAAAAATATTTTGCTTAGTTAATATTGTAAGAGGAGTTGGATGACACAGTGGTTTACCCCTTAGATCGGCGTTGTGGACGTTAAGTAACTATCGTAAGGGTCGGTCATAAGATTTTGAACTTTTTGTTTTCATTATTAAAAAATAAAAAAGTACTCTTAACGCCATCTCTCAGTTTTCTCACTGTGAATTATTTCAATAATATAAAAAAAAATATGTATTTTACCAGAGGCGCCGTGGAAAGATAAGAAATTAAACTTGGGAGTGTACACAAAGAAGGAGCTCTCCAAAGAGTTCAATTTGTATTGGCGCGTGTTAAAAGAGGATGCCGAGTTGGAGGTGGTCATGATGGTCAACGGCACGTCTTATGCTGGTATGTGTACAGCAAATTAGATTATAAATGACATCTAGTGACACTTATAATGTCAACATAGAGACAATCTGTCTACATAAAATACTTCCTGTAGTGTCGGAAGTTATTGTTATATCTCATATTAGACATTGGTTAGAATATGTAGATAGATACATTGACTTTTCTAATGACCGCGTATAAGAATGACAGAAATATTTAATCAACGCCATCTATCGAGTAAGTGGATTAATTTTAAATATGGATGATTATAGAACATGGATATATTAAAAAAATCTTATTAAAAATTTTTAGTTGTACAATATTCCTCATCTTCATGAAGAATTAAATCAAAGCCATCTTCGTTAAATATATTATTATGTTTTTAACTTCAATCATGATCCTTTATTGCTGTAAATTTATTGTTCTTGTATTCACTAAAGTGCCTGTTGTTACTTTTAAAGTTGCTATAAGTTTTTTAACTTCATGAATTATTTTTTTAGGTGTCGGTTGGCGCCCGAGCGGATTGAAAAAACAGTGTAAAAATTTCCCAGTTCTTGGTCCCAGTATAGATGGGAAACGTAAGTACATACTATTTCGATAGATACGTATCTCTATATTTTTATGTCAATTGGGCATTAGTATATATATTCTAATTTTATTTTAATAAGAGGTCTTAAAGTATTAAAGTAAGAGGTTGTTAGTGAAGAAAGAGTGCATAAGGACTGGTTTTGCTTTATAATTTTAACAAAAGTCACCACCTTCGTTATAGAGAGCACACCGAAACCAGAACCACTACCAGAGCCGGAGCCAAAAGCGGAACCGGAGCCTGGGCCGAAACCAGAACCGGAGCCAGGTCCGAAACCGGAACCGGAGCCAGGTCGGAAACCGGAACCGGAGCCAGGTCCGAAACCGGAACCAGAGCCCACGTCCGAAGCGAAACCGGAACCCGAACCGGTAGCAGAACCGCGAGCTCAACCTGCACCTGAACCGGAGCCGAACTCTGAACGAGAACCGAAAGCCGAACCGATACCGAAGTCCGAACCAATTAAATCCGCCGACCACAAACACGAGACTGCACCTAAACTCGAGCCTGCCTCTGAACCCGAGCCGACGTCTGAACCCGAACCCACGGCTGAACCTAAACCTGAGCCTGAACCAACGACACAATCTTCTCAAGAAAATGATAACAGAAACAAGAGAGTGGCCATGCATACCTTGGATGGATTCGATTTCAAAAATTTGGGTGATGACGTCACGGTGAAAACTAGCGTCTCCTACAAAGTATCTAGCTCTAAAGGTAATAAAGTAGATGATTTAAGGTATTAAATTTTTTTGTAATAAACTGAAGTGCTTTATAACCCAAATTATCAATACATAAAGAACTGAAGTCAATAAATTGTTAACTAATTGAATTGATTTCAACAGGACGCCGTAGGAGGGCAGCGGCAAATGAAAGTAAGTATTCTAAGATAAGTTTGCAACTAAATGTATTAAAAAAACATAGCACAATATTAACACTAGTGCTAAAAGCCACAGGCATTCCGCAACCGAGCACAATATTATTATTAATAAACAATTAAAATAATCTCTAACAGTGTAAAAAATCACACTAATGTATATACAATGTTATTATAATGCTGCACGATTCAATCTTTTGCAGATGTGGAATCTTCGACAATGATTAATGAAAAAGAGACCACCCCTATTTCCGAACCAGATTCGACTCCTGAACCTAGTTCCGAATCCCCTACTAAGTCTGAAACGGCTAAGCCGAAACTCAAACCAAAGTTTACACCAAAGTATAAGTTACCGCGTTTATTGTCTACCACTGCTCAACCGAAAGTGTTAGTAGAGTCTGTACCTGATATTAATTCGATCCCGGAACCCCAGTCCGAACCAGAGCCCACGGCTGAGCCTAAATCTGATTCTGAGTTGACTTCACGGGCTAAACCTGCTTCCGGCTCTTCTCTGGAAATTAAGTCGGAATCGGAAAATACCCCAGAGCCAATATCAGAACCTGAGCCTTCCCCCGAACCAGAACCCACAGTTGAACCTCAATCTGAATCCGGAGCAATTCCAAAAAGGCAATCTAAAGAAAACCTATCCTCCGAGCCGGAATCTTCTCCAGAACCTAAGTCTGAACCAGTGTCAAATTCAAACCTAGAATCCACATCAGAACTTGAGTCCACATTTGTAACAACTGTCGAACCAGAATCCTCCCCTGAACCGAAATCAGAACCTAATCCTGAACCAAAATCAGAGCCAGAACCCAACCCTGAGCCGAATTCAGAGCCGGAACCGCATCCTGAGCCGAAATCAGAACCAGAACCTAGCCCCGAACCAAAGTCAGAGCTAAAATCTATCCCAGAACCGAAATCAGAACCAGAACCTATCCCTGAACCAAAATCAAAACCAGAACCTACCCCAGAACCTAAATCAGAGCCAGAACCTTATCCCGAACCAAACTCAGAACCAGAACCTATTCCTAAACCTACATCAGAGCCAGAACCTTATCCCGACCCAAAATCAGAGCCGGAACCTAATCCTGAACCGAACTCTGAACCAGAACCTAATCCCGAACCAAAATCAAATCCAGAACCTTCCCCCGAACCTAAAGCGGAAACGGAAACCGAAAGTTTACTAGTCAAGGGACTTAAAGAGGACACAGGTAACGCACACTGGCTTATTGCACTTATTATATATTTATTTAGTGTATATTTATCAATCTGCATCTTTGTACAAAATTTTAAGGCATTAGTGTCATATTGTCAATAAAATGAATTAATATATTTGATTATTACTTAATTATTATTGTAGTTATTTATATTATTAATATTGCTTATACTAAAATAAGTTATGTTACAAAAACGATTTATCATAATATTGTAAAAGTTAACTATCAAAATGTATGTATGTACTGTTATATATGTTAATAAAATAACTGTTTTTTCTACTTTCTATTTTTCTTTATTTCACTTTTCAACTTTTAATGCTTTAACGCTTTGGCTATCTATCTGCAACGTTTTGTCCCATTCTCTCCTCCGCAATTTCCATCTCCTTTTCTTTCTACCTTTTCTTCTTTCAGTGTGTAATTCTCTCTTCTAATTTAATTTTCGGTTACGTGTGAACAGTTTTACTTAATTATTTTCATTAATTAAGCACGTTTACTAATAAATGGGTCTCTATATAAGTCTTTTTTGGTTATGTAATTTTTAACTCATTCATTTAATATCTTATCTTTACCAAAAATCAAGCTTCACTTTGAGCTGTATGTATTTTTTATAATTTCATGCGGTTAATTTTTTCATATGTATAGTATAATACTCTTTAGCAAGATTTAAGTTTCTCACTCTCTCTTTTTTTAATCGAGTATTAGATAATACTAGCTAAGCTATAAAATATAGCCTATAGAATAGGTTATTTACTTAGTATAGCTCAACTCTAGTGTGTGTATATGTGATAAATTATGTTATTTTTTTATTATTTAAAATAAGTTTTTGCATTGGAATTCCAAGCCTATTACATGGATTTATGGGAAAATACACACTTTTAGTAGTGTGTGTTTATTCTCCACTGTGCTTTTACAGTGAAAATAAACATATAACACCGATTATTGCAACAATATTTGAATGTTTTAATTATTGCAAATAAAAAAGAATGTGATATAAAGTGTAACGTTGTATTGTCAACATTTAGAGACATTCGTTAATCTGACTTAATATAATTCGTTATAACTGACATCTTAAATCATTATAACGACTATTTCATAAATGTCTCCACTCACTTATTTAGATGTGACTGTTACTATCTGGTTTTCTTTATTATTGCGACTGCAATATAATAATAATATTAGAAGTTACTTAAATCAATATTTTTACATATTTATAGATGTTTCTGATGATTTTATCATGTGCAATCTGATAATCGTGGAAACTCATGAGTCTCTCACAAAATAACTAGCATATTGGTTTATGAATAAAACCTCTAATTTTAATCGAATGCATATTTCAGGTTACTTCCCTGCTCACGAGTATGCACCAAAGTTCGATTTCAATCCAATGGATTGCACGGACATTGTGATCGGTACAGCTCGAGGCAACTACCACAGAGTCCTAGATTATTACACTAGAGATAGGTAAAGTATTTGTATTATTTCTAGTATTTGTAATTCTCATTTTGTATAAATAATTAATTTTATTCTATCTCTTACTTCACTCAAATATTAATTGATACCATAAGCATGCGGAGTGCGAGTGATTTCTGCGCCTCATTGTCGTTGGTAATTTATTGTCTATGGACCAATGGAATACGGCCCACAGAAATCGTCCATACTCCGCATGCGGACTCACAATGCGGACAGCAGGAACGCACAATATAATTAACTAAAATTGCTAGTGCATTTTCGCTCTTAAGCTCTAATTTACACCGCCACGGAATGGAATAAAAGTGACTTTTTGCAAGCAAATTGTTTATAGCATAATGATTTTTTTGTCAACTGTATGCAAACTAAATAGGTACGAGGCAAAAAAGTCATGCGTCTTTCAGAGAATCATAACGCATTCATTATGCTATGTAACCTTTTGATGCAAAAGTAGATTTGATTCTATTGCGTGGTGGTGTAAATTGAGTCTTATATATAAGTGGTTCCAAAACTATTTTGTAAGAAACTTTCCAAAATGAATTGATACCTAAGACTAGGCTTACCATAATTACGAAGAGCCAAACCGGGACGCAGAAGAGAAAGAGGCTCATTTTCATTTTGCTTTTCGCTTAATTTGTGTTTTTCATATTTGAAATACAATCAAAATTGTTATGAATTGAAAACATATTAATAAATATGAATATATTTTTTATTAAAAAAGATAAAGAGACAAAGTACAATTAATACAAATAACACTGAAAATTTGCCCGGTTTTATTATTCACCCACGCTTGCTTCATATTTTTCACTAGAGTGCACTTTCTTCAGAATCGTTCTGTCGTGCTTAATTTTGTCATAAAATTCACTGCATGACATGTTCAAGTTGAGTTTGCACGTAAGCAAGGCTTCCACAACGCATTCTTCCATCCTCCCCCGATCGTCAGACCACATTTTTTTCATCTGTGAAAAATTTCTTTCCACTGGCTCTGAAGAACCGGGTAGACACATAGCAAATTAGACATTTTTTTTTTAAATTTGGCCTCTCAATATGCTTCTTGTGAAAATGGGTGAATGGCGCGGGGGAACGATCGGCCGGGGTATCGGTGTTGTTCAAGTTTGACCGGGACGCTAATGCAGACCGGCCGGGACGCCGGGACAGGGATCTTAAACCGGGACTATCCCGGTCAAACCGGGACGTATGGTAAGCCTACCTAAGACCCCCATGGCCAAATTACTACCTTCTCTTATAACGTAGCATTACTAATTTTGCACAGATCAACACCGCGTGTGGACACTTTCTGGGGTGGCCACGACGACGTCACCGCTGCTTCAGGCTTCGAAGAGAATGGTGTCACTACTATCATATTTAGAAAGAAAATTAAGGTAAGCATCATTGTTTTATATAGAGCGGTGGAAAAGGGTATGAAAACAAATTCCAAATTGTTTATTTGTCTTAGGATGGAAGTCATTTGGATTATCCTTTCTGGCGTTGACTTGAGGCGGGTACAGTATACGCTACCTCCGTAGTTCGAGTAACGGTTCATTCATGTAGAAATTGAACTTTTATGTATTGTCTCGGGTCTAAGTGTTGTGGTACTTTCGTTGTTTCAGATTCCCATAGTACAAATGCTTTAGACACTTATGATTTCAGCAATGTAACTGCTGGCAGTTTTCCCGCGACTTCGGCCGCGTAAATTATAGCCTATGTTATATAGTTATCACTTCCCGTAGGTGAAAGAATTTTTAAAAACGGTATGGTAATTTCAGAGCCTATTCATAGTGGCGGACTAACTCATCGGAGGTCCGGGGCGGCAATAGGCCCGGATCAACACCTTTTTTTTAACCAGGGCAGAAACTTGATATTGCGTTCACAACGCATACAATTTAACTTTATATAATTATGCTGGCAGCCCATTTGGAGGCTCTTCATAATATTGGCATAGATGCAATATGTATATTGTGTTTCAGGCTAAGGAGCCCACAGACCACTCGATAGTGGACGACCTGATGCACGTGATCTGGGCCCGCGGCCAGGAGCCCGCCCGCTACGTGCACTCGCCGCCGTCGGGGCTCGAGCGCGGGGCCGCCGCGGTGAAGGACTTCTACAGGCAGGACGAGCTCAAGTACCACGGCCACGGCTCGCAGAGGGGCGTCACCAGGATCAACTTCTTTGGTATGACAACTATGGGCGATAACTTGTGGTTCATTGATTAAACTATTTTTATTAGGAGAGAATTCTAATGATACATTTTTGTGTACTGCCCGGGCTTCAGCCTTCTCTGTAAATGGAGTCGAATCGAACAAGGAGATTTGCCGTGACCGACCGACGCGGGTCCAGTGCGGATTGGTGGGTCTTGACGACTGCAAATAAAAAAAATAATAATACGTTTTAGAAGGAGAAATGATAAATTCAACTCGAAATATTCTTTACGTCAATCGATTTTATTTCTCAGGTAGATAGGTACTGTAGAGTAAAAGTATAAATATTTTCCGTAGAGGAGACAAAATCTTCAATATCCGGCGGAGTACTCCCTCTGGCTGACAAATGTGGCGGCATGTGGAAGTATCCTACCGGCTGTAACCCGGATAATAACACCTGCGAGTATTACGCGTCATGGGAATATCTGGGCCAGAAGAGGGGGAAGGACTCTATAAAATTCGTCATCAAGACTAAGCACACTAACCTATGGACCGGGATTGGGTTCAGTAAAGACAAGAAAATGGTGAGTGGACATATATTCAAATACTGAATGATAAAATTTTATTGTAATTTCTAGTGTAAGTTTGTGCTGATATCAGAATATTTTATTCTATAAGTAGAAAGTATGGATGTGGTTTTGTTACTATAATGTGGTTTAAGAGTGTGTCTAAACCAAAACCAATACAGATTCTTCTTCTGTTCGTTTATCTGTCAGCCTGACAGATCATTCAGGGCTTTTGCTAACCGGAAAAGCCACAAAAAAACACAACATTAATTATTAACTATGCTGACCGTCGTATTAATTCTAGAGATAACAACGGATTTACCAAAAAATTGGGTATAATATTGGTCAGGAATATATCAGTGATTATTATACGCATACGACAAATTTTGAAGGTGTTTTCATTAATAATGAAAAAGTTTTATATAGTTTTTATTAAAGAAATAATTTAATTTTTAATGAAAAATGGTTAAAATATCTACCAGCCTCAGGTACTACAAGAAGAGATTCGAAGCTGCGACCTTTCGCAATCCGAAAGGATTTTTAAGCATTTATGTTTAGCATTATTAATGCAAAATTGTTCAAATGTAATAATTTATTTTTTATTACGAAGAAGGATATTTTTAGTCGTTGTCGCGATCGATATAGTTAATTAAAAATTGAGACGGCACAATTAAAATCTTATTTGAATCCGTAACTTTTCGATGATCGGGAAACTTAAGAGGGCTGGAAAGGCCCTATTCATCTGAATCGAATAAAATGTAGATATGTGTAGGTACTGTGAGTAATGCATAATGTGTAAATATATGACAGGACCGCGTATTGTAACAATACGTCCAACTCGATGAAATTAAGTATGGCACATGACACTGATTATGGCATGGCAACGAACATGACATCCACATATTGTAGTGTAATACCACAGATAATACTATCGGGCATCTCTGGAATGGCAAGGCGAACTTTTATTATATATATTATCGGTTGATATAAAAAAAACACCGATTAGTATTTATTAGCTTTAATTAATTATGTAAATATTAAGTTCAAAACAAATAAGCTATATAAAAAAAAAGAGTAAAAACTATGAAAATTAATCATTGAATATAAAAAGCAATTACCTAGTTGTAGGTTAAAAAATTATCATTGACTGGCTGTGAAATAATAATAAAATTATCCAGCACAATTACAGTACGTGACAGGTATCCATCCGGCTGCCGTTTGCATAGCGCGTCATCTTAGGTCATGCTTAGAGTGCTGAGTAATGCTTTAATGTCATATTACGCGGTACGAAATGTCATGACATATGGCATTACTTTTCATCATATCATATTTTTCGCATGTCTAATAAAATGATTGATCTGCGCCGACGTTTCTTCTGGTCACGACGAGGCTGGAGCGGCAAGTTTACGCCTCTGAATTACGATTTACGGATGAATCTTCTTGCACCCTCAGATATTGCATTCAACTACCGTCACAAACAACACCGAGTGTCCCTATTTCGAACATAAGCCGTATTCTGGAGATGTACCGATTGCGAAAAATGAGGTTGTGTTTTAGCGAATACTGGATTCCACACTTGTGACAATTTATATCCGTCTTCCCGATTGAAGTTATTAGGATGTTCGATGCGGTGACCGCGGCCGGTGAAACCCGGCCGAATCGTCGGCGCAGGTCAGTCTAAAATCACGTGCACGTTCGCCTGTGTGCAGTCGCAGACGGACGCGGTGGTGGGGTGGGTGGAGGGGCGCACGGGGCGCGCGTTCCTCATGGACACGTACGTGAGCGGCTACTCCGCGCCGCGCCTCGACGCCAGCCAGGACGCCGCGCGCCAGGCCGGCCGCATACAGGACGGCGTCACCACGCTCAGCTTCGTCCGGAAGCGGGACACCGGGGACCAGAAGGTCGGCTTCACAACTAACCGACTATTTCTTTCTACCTTTATATAGCTTTATCTTCTTTTTTTTCAAAATAGACATGACGACTGGGCTGGACTAGACTGAAATTAAAAATACAAAAATAAATACGTATGTACGGACATATTTTTTTTTACTTCAATTTAACAAGAAATAGCTTAGATTACAGGCATTTTTATACTTGAAGAGTGGGGGCACGTTACGTCACAGTTTACAAAAGCGTGACGTTTTATCTCAACGTATCATTTTTTACATTTTTCAACAATCTACCTGATGGACGAACAAACAAAACTTGGTCGTCATCCCTATTTTACTGGTTTCCGTTGAGGTGCTCCTGCTGCATTTGCTCTATTTTATAAACTTGTGAAATGTGAAGATTAGGTAGACGTTAGAATGATATCGAGTTTCCCGCAGGCCTCTCGATATCGATCGATATCGATTTGGATGGTTGAATACGATGTCGACTAAATCGGTGTCAATCTACGTTTGCGGGATAATTTGAGGATCGCAGTCATAAACATGTAGATAGATAGATAAGATGGAACATGATCTTATATGACTGTCAAAAGACAAGTTACTGAAACAAGTTTGTCAAAGAATGTAAAACAACAAAAGTGTTTTATTTTTACTTTTAATAAAAGAAAATTTAATATAAATTATAATTTGGATAGTGAAAACGATGCCCCTAATTCTCGAAAGTAGGAAGTACCTATTGAATCATAAAACAGCTTTACCGTACCTACGTAGATATCGTATTTTTTTTATTAAAATAGAGTTATATTATAACTGTCTATATACTTTGTTTTTTTTTTTCTAGGATTTCGCATTCACCGATACGCAGTGTTTGTACATGATGTTCATAACGCAAGGCGGCAATTTCGAGCCGGTGAACAAACGGACCAGCAAACATTTGCAGACACCTGTTATATCCGAAGACAAAGTGTGCATCAGACCTTGTGGACCAGGTATGTTGATCGCGGTACAGAGCAGGAGACATACCTATGTACGAGAGATTAATTTCACTAGTGGAATAGCATATTTTGAACTTTCATTAATAACTTGTGCATAAATAATAAGTTCAATGAACTAATAACTCTTTGTGCTACATGCAACTACTAAGTAGTGAGACATTTTGGAATGTGTTATCAAAATAACTATCGCCATCTAGTGTAAAAACAAGGTATCCAAAATATCTTGACAAATTGAGGATCGGACAGCAATTCAATAAAAATAAAAAAATTGTGGATAAAAAAATTTGAAGATTATTCACCAAATAATTTTGCTAAATAACAATTATATATTTTTAAATCAATAAACAAAAAATATAATTTTCCAAATTTTGTAGTCTGTGTCTCATGTCAAATGAAACACTAATCAGAGCGCGTGATGTCATTTGTGGGTAAATTGCACAGGTAAATTGGTAGTAAAACTGTCTATAAAAAGCGCGGGAAACATTCAAAGTGCAAAATTATTTCAATGATTTATTTGATTTTTAACAGATTGCAAGGGTCAGTTTACTGTTTTATTTATTTTTGAGTTTAAATATAAGTACTGCAGACGATCATTCATTTTTTTTCATTGAAATTATTCCCTTGTGTTTACCCTACAAATGGCGTCACGTCCTCCAAGTTTTGGGTACAGAATGAGGTTTATTTACATAAAATTATATGTTTTTGTGGGAATAAGCGCCCGTATTGATTAATTAAAAACAATTTTTAGAAAGTTATCTGTACCTCTATTATACGATGATTAGACGACATAGTTTCTTACGAATTCGTATATCCTGTAATAATAATATGTTTGATCATGTGTGATGTCAACAGAGCCTCCGGAAGAGGAGTTTACAACAGAGCCTATAATACCGGGCTTATCCGCGTACACGGTGTTGATCCGTATAACCGGACTAGCCGATAGTTTCCGCCCGCCCGCTGCCGGCAGCAAGGAGTATGAAGATCTCACCAAACAAGTCGTAGACAACATGGAGAGGGAGATCGGCAAGAACAAGGGATACCACGGCATGGTCGTCAACGGATTCATGCAGTAAGTTTTGAATTCACAATACGATTATTTTTTAGAAGCTCCCTATTTGATTCCCAGCTTGAGCAGTGGGGATATTAATAGGTGTTAATTATGATAAATTTGCAGAATAACACTTGACTGAAACATCTGAGGTGCCTTTCGTTGGATTTCTGTCTTGACGCGGGTTTTAAGTTTTTTTATTCAAATCTAGTAGCAAATCGCACAATATATATCTAATAATTTAACAACATCAGTTGCAGATTATAAAAACTTTATTTAAATATCTTGGGTTACTTAAAACGAGTTTATTTCAGGAACGAAACTAATGCGATAATAGCAGAGTTGACTTTGAAATCAATCGATTCCAATACGATCGATGGATCTGGCGCCCGTTCCCTTGATGGTGGCATCTCGCCTGGCAACAATGGAACAGAAGAGGACGACAACATGCTGAAGTGGGAGAGAGTAGTGAGAGACACTCTTGCGCAAGGAAAAGTTGGAAATTTGAATGTTGATCCGGAGTTTTTAGTATTTCAACCTCAAAGCTGTGAGTATCGATACGGAATTTATTTAATGAGTAAATATTTCGGTCCGAAATTCATCTGATAGCTTGGTCTCATTATGAAGTGAGACTACATCAGATGAGACGACTGCTTTGTTAGTATAGTCTCCTTTTGGAATAAAAACACGTTTACTTAGTTTTAACTTTACGAATTTCTTTATTTTTATTCTTTTTATAATTTAGTACATGTAGTACATATTAATATTATATATACAGGACAAATTTGTTATCAAAAAACCTATGGTTTGATATCGTTAAAAGAATGTATTTATCAAGAATTATTTTTTTATCTTAGTTTATAAATGAATAATTTCATGTGTATTATAACATTATCATGTTTTTTCAATAGTAGGAAACGAACTGTAGTTATATTGATAACCAGCTGTTTTCCTGCGACTTCGCACGCGTAAATTATCGCCCATATCAACTCCGTAAGATGCAGCTATCCGTAGGTGAAATAATTCTTTAAATCGATCGAGCAGTTTCGGAGCCTACACTTTGCAAACGAACAAACAACTAAATCTTTCCTCTTTATTCTATTATTAGTATAGAAACTCCTCAAGCATTCCGAGACCTGTAAATCCATCGCCTCTCATTCAGAATGTTGTATAGATATTTAAAAAGATTTCTTGCATCGACCAGTACTGATAAACCGGCCGAGCGAGGGGGAGGGGGAGCAGTCGGGCAACGCGCGCTCGTTCTTCGGCAAGGCGGAGGCGAAGCTGTACGTGGTGGTGGCGTGCGTGGGCGCGCTCGTGCTGCTGGCCGCGCTGCAGGCCGCCTGCACGCTGCGCGCGCGCGCCGCCAGGCAGGTGCGGGCTATAGACAATCATAAACATATACAGGGTTATGGGTTACTTGACCGGAATATTTTCACCCAACATTGTATGTTTTTGTTAAATGCACTTTTGTTTGCAAATTTACAATAACAATGAAATGTTTTTTTTTTCTTTTATTATTTAAAACTCTGTAGTTTCTGTTTGGGTCAAGATTATTAGGGTTTTATTATTATTTATCACGAACTGGAATGTTATCTCTCCGAAACTTTCAACAAAATTAGATTCTGATTATAATTTAATTATTTTTCGACTTAAAAAAAAAAACAATTTATCACAAAAATGACTCACTTGCAGATCATAATGTAAGGTGAAAACAATTGTAAATTACCTCCCCTACGACCCGTTAAAAGGATCTGGTCTAATTACTCATAACCCTGTATAACGTCTTTATTTTCAATAAATAGTTATATGTACATACAGTAATTATATTTAAGTTTGAGTAAGAGCTTTAACTATTTAGCCATCTTGAATAGCATGCAAAAAATATGTAGGTATTACAATGATAAAACTTAAAATATTTCATAATAAGATAAAATTGTGTCAAATTTAACAATATTAATTATAGTAGTACATGTTACAGAATCGACACGAAGAGCTTCTTAAAGATGCCTCGTTTCTCTTGATGATATTATCATTGTCGTTCGCAGGAACAGTTGATTCCTAATTCGGCGTGGAAAGATTACTCGTCAAACACAAATTATGCGTTCGAACCATTCGAGAACGAGAAGTACAACAGCGCGTCTACGGTGGCCGCGGGTGGGGGCCGCCCCCGCGCCCCCGCGCCGCGCCCCGCCGCGCCGCCCCCGCCGCGCCCCCACACCGCCCCCGCGCTGCCGCACAACAAGGTACCCGGCGATGTCATCATATGTATACCTTGTAAAAAAACTGACAACCCTATTGATAAAAGTAAACATTATATTTGATTAATTTGGCATTCACAATGCTATACTAATTTTCATTAAAAAGTCATTATATGTCAGTCAAAAATAATCTTTCCTTAATTTAAAAAAAAATACCGAGAATCCGTAAAATATCGAAGACGTGAGTACGTGAGACGATGGAGTCCCGATTTTTAAACTAAAAAATGTAATAAGTTAAAGAATATTAAATTTTTATTAAAAATTCACGAACGATGCTAATAAAATGGTTCTTTTTAATTTCAGACTCCGACGAACGGTCACAAGATGTCTGCCAGCGGTCACAAGATGGCGGCTAACGGCAATAACACCAACGGTCGTTCGACACCCAGACACAATCCACCCAACTACTATCACCATACGAGATCCCTGCAGCGACCCGCCGGCCAGTACGGGTAAGATTAATACATAATCGTTTTTTATCCGATGTAGGAAGGAAGAATTGATAGGATGCAGCATTTAAAATTTAATTTGTGTTCGCTCCGGTAAATCAATATCTATTAAGATATTTTCTTTCTTTTTTAATCTGCTAACATCGAAGATAAAAATAAAAAACGCATGAAATTTTGAAAAAATCTATTTATGAATATAGATTTTAAAAAAAACTTCGTTCATACCTAAATACATTTTTATTAACAATTATTACCAAACAAAACAAAAAAATATATTTACAGTATGTTACTTGTTCATTGTCATTAAAATGTTCATTAAAAGGAAAAAAATGCAAACCATTATATTAATATGGAACAAAAACTGTAGATGCGGGTCTACTATTCAGACTACTATTTAATAATATTGCTTATAATAAAAGTGTAATTTATCCTTAAAAAACAACATAAACCAAAACCTTAGAAGGCAATGTCCACCATTGAGTTTTTATTTATTTTATATTCAAATGAGAAGACAACCTTTTTGAATATGATTAAAAATTTTTGAATCTTATAAAATGAGTTTGACCATTATAATTTTTTTCATATTAAAATATATATATATATATATATATTATTATTATGATCAAAACGTACGCAAAGCTTATGTTAATAAATTTCAACCTCCATCTTATCAGACCGTGTGGCCTAATGGATAAGGCGTCGGACTTCGGATCCGAAGATTGCAGGTTCGAGTCCTGTCACGGTCGTTCTCTTTTTCTTATTTTTTATTATTTTATTGATTATATTTTTCCTTTCTGTGATATTATTTTAGATATTTCCGTTAAATTAAAAACGAAAAATCACAACATGTTACTCAAATAATACAGTTATTTATTATAAATAAATCTAAATCGTATGAACATATTTTGTATTTTATTTTATTTAATCTTTATTTACAATTTGTAATATAAAATAACGATCATTTTTCACCCCTATATTGCATAAAATACAGTATTCTGTTGTCATTCTTGGGAGATATAACAGTGCTGTTTTAATAGGTTTTATGTCAGATATACAATACATACTTCATACAATATATACTAGTTATACCTCGTGGTTTCGTCTGCCGTTGTATATCAATTGTATATTCCCTAATTATACTCGTATACGTATTTATCCTTGATCGAGATTTTAGCATTTGAAAAAAAGAAATTTAGGCTTGATTGTTTAGGATTTATTGAAAGAAAGAATTTGTGGTCACTTTTTCGACTTGTACATTTTTTTTTCTTTAAATTAAAACTTTAAAGCAAAATTCTAAAAATATAATTCGCTCGCCTGTAAATATTCTACACTTCTTATTTATCAATTATATGAATTAAGTTATTTTAATTACATTTATCCATTCAAATAAAAAAGTAGCTCTATCTTTGGCATTTGAAAATAATAAAATGATTTATACAGAAAAAAATCATAAAAATAAATCGTAAATGAATAATATGACGGTTATTTTTCTTTTATATTACTAGCATTGAATACAATAAAAGAAAAAAGCGTACAATCCCCGTATTTACGTAGAAAATAATGTTATTTTTTTCAAAACGTTCGGGTTCGGTTTTTGAACTGAGAACTAGTTATTTTTTTTTATTTATGTATGCTGTTTGTTTGCTTATACTATGGTATAGTTCCTAAGAACATGTTTTCGTATGTCTTAAAACTTCAGACTTCAACCTGTATATTAAAATTCTACGATTTCCATTGATCCAGTTACGCGAGTAGAGGGGACCGCGCGGCGTACTCGCTGCCGCGACGCGGGGACCCGCCCGCCAACCAGGCGCAGCCGGACTTCTACTTCATGCCCTCGCAGAGGAAATACGAAGGTGAAATAGTCAGGGTCTATGTCGACTATAGAGACAAGGGCCAAAACCAGGACTGACAATATTAACAATATCACGTTTATAATATACACCTACCTACCCGATGGCCGATTATCGTCTAGGCAAACTAGGCAGGTGCCTCTCTAGGCACGTCACGTTATAATGTTGGGGGAATTTTTCGAAAGATGCGACCCTTGTACCATGAGTCATGGCAAAAATACCCTAGCTACTTTTATTAGATGCCTCGCGAGTATCTATGATAGTTTTCGCTATGATTTCACGCCTTTCTATTGTTGTTGTATTATTTGTTATATTTATTTAATAAAATATAGTCAAAAGGGGAACCCAAGCCCAGCAAGCTACAGAAATATACTATCCATTTTTAGTGACATAACAAGGTACTTGCCTAGAGTGCCAACGACTTTTGATTTACCACTAAATAATATTATAACGTCAATAAGCTTTATTAAAATTCATAAGTTAAGGCTTTAAATGCCTACGCTTTACGATTGTTATAATAAAAATGACTTTCAGAAATGGATAAAGCAATTATATAATATTGCATTAGTAAACATCTTAAAGCAGCTCCTTCGAACAGTATCGAGAAATTGATTTGCACTATAAAAATAAAACTGAATAAAATAAAATTTTTAATGATGTCATTTTCAGATAAATTTAAACTTATAATCGACTTAGAAGCGTGAAACGCTTATTGTTTCACACATATTTTTGTGTTTATTGTATATTAATTATTATTATTTAATTGATTTATTATAAAATAAGGTAGTGAAAGACTGTTGGTTTATATAATGCTTTTAGAAAATTATGTTGTTCGATTTGTTTGTCCAAAAGTATATTAAGTAGTGTTGGGTAACATTTTCAATGTGCCAATTCTAGGTTTGGTGTGCTTTAACATTTTACACGATTTTATAACATAAAGATGCTTAGCGCCTTGTTTGATTAATGCCTTAGCTTATTTGAGGAGACTGGGAATGGAAGTTTAGAATTACATAGCTGCGTACTAGGGTCAAGTAAGTTTAGAGTAGATACTTGTGGTAATGACAAAATATTCGTAAGTTTGCTGATGATAACACGTTTCTTAGAATTCTTGTCACAATTTTGAAATGAGACATCGATATATTGTTTATTTTAATATTTATGGTAATTGTATTTTTACAAATATATATTTTAAGAAATATAACTAGTTGTTAGCTTTATCATAGATATTATAGACAAAATTTCTTTAAAAATTTATACAACTGAATCATATTAGATGATAAATGAATGATATTAGATACGTTTGAAAAGAAATCTTTATTTACTTGTAATAAGTCAGATTTTAGTATTTTTGTAACGGACGTTCATGGATTGCTTGCCTTAATTTACTAAATTGCACTTGCTTTGTAGTTTGCTTACCCTATTGTATGTAATGTCAATAGCACGTCAGATTATACAAAACTGCTAAATTTCTTCAGTTGATTTTAAACCTTAATACATTGTGGGTAGAGATATTTTGGTAACCTGTCGTGCAGTCGCGTGTACCTATTAAAAATATAGGTATAGATTATTCGGTCAATGCATGCATCGAATACCATCCTTGTAATTATTTTTGTTATGTTACTATTTCCGTCTGGGACTTTTTGGAGCCATTTTAAAAAACGGCTGTTGTAAAACTTAAGTTAAGATCAGCAAGGGCAAAAGCAAGAGAAATTTGATGGATGCACTTTGACCATCGTAATTCAGCTTTATTATAAGGTGTTGTATTAATATGCATTAACAATTAACACTGTAGTTAGCAATGCTATATAACTCTGAAAATCATTAAGCTCTTAACAGACAGTGTAGATGCTATAATATTATATCTTAAATGGAATATAGCTCGCCATTCAATCAAATAGCCCAACACACACCGCTAAGATAATATTAAGTTTTCATATTTGTGTGATAGCTTAGATTAAAATATGTTATCCTAAGAAACTTAAGATGGTTACCGTCGTCATATAATATGCTTAAATCCAAGATATTTCAATTGACATTTGTCTTAATTCTAAGGCTATGTTAATGTTTGCCAAACAAAAATCATTTTATAAAAATTAAACAAATGATCGATTGTTTGCTAAAAATAGAAAGATAAATTTCGATAATTGACTCGATAGAAAAAAATCGCAAAGATGCCTCTAAATAAGTAGGTTTTTTTGGATCGATTTTATGACTTATATATTATTTCTCAACTATATACAAAAATAGGTTTTGATATAATCTAAAATATTCAAAAAAATGTTTTTCTTACTGCATTTGTTTTTTCTGTGATTAAAAATGTATGAAATAAAGCAAGCGCGTTGCCTCTCGACACGTATTAGTATGGAAACATAACCGAAGGTACACGAGAGCCTTAATTCAATTTTTTTTTATTTGTATTTCGTATTATTATCAACTTATTTACTGATAGTTATTTTAATGTTTTCCTTTTTTTACAGATTTTTGATGGAGACTATGAAGATTTAATTATAAACTAACAAATACCTAAGTTACCAAGGTTAATTATTATTCTTTGAGCACCGAACAATTATATAAGACATACAAACACCCACATACTTATACATTATTTGTTTTTTTTCTTTTTAGTTTTTATTTCAAACAGATCTAGTCTCGTGTCACAGTTTTAAGTTATAATATTCGCAATTAATAATAAATATTATTGAATAATTGTATAAAATATAATGAATGTAATAATTTAAGATTATTTTCAGCTTTACTTTGCACTACTACATGTTAATATTACACAATAGAGTTTATTATTAAAATTTAGTGGAAATATATTTGATAAAACTTAAAGTTTTCACTTAGTATAATATTATTTATAAGACTTTAATATGGCCAGAAAATATTGATCACATTTGTTTGTGTAATAATGTTGATAAAATTATATTTACAATGAAATTTTGAGATATATAAAGTATTATAAGTATTTTATTGGGGGTCTACGGATACGTACGGAAAGTATTTGACGAGTATTACCACAGATAATATGAAGTTTTACTAGTAATATTACTTATAGAAACTTAATGTTAAACTTAATATGTATCGGGTTGGCACAAAAGTAATGAGACACTTGGTTTAAGTTTTTACTTTTTTATTATTATTACAATAAAAAAAGTTTAGTCAATGATGTAATTACCATTAATATCTAAGACTTCTTGCTAACGATCCGGCAAAGTTTGGATGCCTTTTGCCCAGAACTCTGATGGCTGTGCCTCGAAAAAGTTGTTCAACTCCGCCTCTACGTCAGAGAAATCATTAAATTGTTTACCCCGCAAATGCTGTTTCAGGGCTCTAAACAAATGATAGTCTGATGGGGCGAGGTCTGGGGAATAAGGTGGGTGGGGTATCGTCTCCCAGCCCAAGTTCTCCAACTGCCGGCGAACCACAGATGCAACGTGAGGTCGAGCGTTATCGTGCAGTAAAACTACATTGACTCCTCTTCGTCGTTTTTTCTTGATAGCGGCAGATAATTTGGTAAGCTGGGTTGAATATTTGTCAGCGTTTATAGTTTCATTGTGTAATAGCTCATAAAACAGTATGCCTTGCGCATCCCAGAATCAGCAAAGCAGAATTTTTCGGCGGTTCTTTTGACTCGGCTTCGGTTGAGTTGGTGGCGTTTCTTCTCGAGGCAGCCAAAAAGCACGACGTGTATCGTTCTCGTAATAAATCCATGATTCATCTCCAGTAACCAGATTTGACAAAAACTCTTTACGTCGGGGTCGCAGCAATAGGGACCGACAGATAGCGACACGGACTGCACGACTGGCGTCTGTAAGGATGTGCGGTACCCACTGAGCCAAATCTTTTCGATAACCAAGCTCATGCAGATGGTGTTCCACGGCGTGGTGACTGCATTCAAGTGCTTCCGCTAATTCATGAGTGGTAGCATCCGGATTCAACTGCAGTTCGCAGCGCAAATCGTCATCATTCACTGCGGGTGGTCGCCCTGATCGTGGCTGACTTTCAAGGCTCCTGTCTCCTGATTTAAAACGGTCAAACCATCGGGACACCGTCGCATGGCTTGTACTTCCAGCGCCTAATGCATTGTTGATATTGTCAGCCGCAGCCCGCGCACTGTGGCCTAACAAGAACTCGTATAAGTATAGTGTTCGAACTTGTCGCTCATCCATTTTTCTTCAAACTAACTAAACAAATCGCGAGCGCGGCTTTATATACCCTACACCAGAAGTACCTAGAATGTTCTACAACATTCTAGAATATTATCGAAAAAATTGATTTTAAAAAGGAAATGTTATAGATTTTTCTAGTGTGTCTCATTACTTTTGTGCCAACCCAATACAAGTAGAGACAAGAAATCGCAAAGGAAATTTTTGAAGTATAATAGAAAAACTACGACGCTTTTATTTTTTTTTTAATAAAAAAATAATCCTTTACAAAATCAAACTGCATACAGCAGTTGATTTGAAGTCTTAACATGATGATGGTAATATTCAAATTTTAAAGTATATTCAATAAGGATGCTTTTTTTCTTTCGAACGAGAGTTGGATCGAGAATCGATGGTCGTTTATGCGTCAGGGCGAATAATTCTGTCATATGCTCATTTTTAAATGTAATCATTGTATTAAGATTAATTAACTGAAAATTATAATAAGGTGCTTATAAATGATGATGATATATTTAGTCTGATTATTTATTTTATACAGAGAATATTTTGTAATACATTTATTGATGGGGAAAATATTCTATTTAAAATTATGGATACATTCATACAATAATTCTATTTGGGGGTGTTATTGAAAATGAAACGAATATATTGCCATTATCACTATTTACTCATTTTACTTATTTAACATACAATATTACGATTTTAAGTTATAACTTATTAAGTATATTTTTAAACAAACACACCAAATCCATGTAAATAGAGCGGTATAATTATGTAAGTTAATGAATCCGTCCAAATGATGGCACTTAAATAGACATAATTAATGTAACGTTTTATCGATAAATTGAAATACAATTATTTTGAATAAAAGTATAGTATTTTTTTTTACTTAACGTGATGTACAACTGGGGACTAATTGTCTAACATTAAATCTATCGTCATCGCTTTCAGTTTGAGAGAAGTTGTATAACCATTGCTTGTTTCTGTAGATAGTTGAAAAAAAAGTATTTGTATTATGCAGCAATGGTTGTGCAACACCTTTCAAACTGAAAGCGATTGCAATAGATTTAAAATTAGACAATCAGGGGGCTGATGTGGCTCATTGATACGTAAAAGACTAAATTTCGAAGCGCGTCAAGTGTTGACCAATCAGGGTGACCAAGTATCACGCCATCGAGCAATCCACTACTATCCGACGAGTGTGAGACGGACACTTAAATAATTTTTACTTTACACTAACAAGACTCACTATACATTTATTACGCTCAGGCATCGTCGGAATTGGCAGAGCGATTCCGGAAAATTTCGAAGCCAAATGCGAATTCACTTCGAAAGCGAATCCGCTTAACTTATATAAGAGTAAAATTTCTTTTGATTCTATTTTTTGTATAAAAGTAGAAAACAAGATTAATCGATTCATACGTGTTTCAGATATTGTATCCCTATGTCATTTCGAAACTCACTACGTATATGCCACGAAACGTTAATACCAAGGTTCATCGGATTCGCTTTCGAAGTGAATTCGGAATGGGTGAATTTGAATTTGGGTTCGGATTTTTACTAAATCGTTTTGTCTGCGCAAACGTTGGTTCTCCATGCGCCATATTAGTTCTAACTTACTGTGTCTTAACAATGGTTCTTTTCTCGTGGTAGTCCTGTACTGTTCCCAAGTCTATCCTCTGCTTGCTTTACACGTTTAAAGTAAATGAATAAGTAACTAAATTTTAACTTGCTACTTACAACTTAATTGTATGTTTACATAGATAGATAAATGATTTATTTCTTGCCAAAATACACACACACACAAACTGCAACCAAGAGTGAACGGAAACACGGTACTTACAGGATTAAATTTCTAGTCAAACCATCCTATATATTATATTTTATAGATAGAAAATAAATAATATAAATAGAAAAATATAAAATTCATTAGTAAATATTTTTTGAATAATAATTACTATACTCATTATGAAATGAAAATCTATTTATTATATTATTAAAATCAAGTTAAATTGTTAAACATTTAAATCAGATATGTATATTGTAACAAAACAAAACAAACAAAAAAACAAAATCACGTTTCCGCTATCTGTCAGAGTGTTGGAACACCTAATTTTTGTTTATCTAGCAGATATGACTTTGATAATTTTTTAAAACAATATTTATTTTTCAACAACCTTTAGTGGCGGTGGGATATTATTCCAACACTTAGTTGCGTGGTAGCGGAAACTGCCAATAAATGCCACAGTGCGGTGTGGTGAACTATGACAGGTGGTCGTATTGATCTCGGTGGTCGCATTGACGCGATCTGTTTGAGGTACTTGTACAAAAATTCAATTTTGAGAAGAGGTAGTCGGGACTTTTAAATTTTATTATATCGAATAAAAGTAATGCCAGATGATAATGTCGATATGATTCCATATTCAATATTGATTCATTATTAAGAAATGGAGAAATATGAGAATGTGGTGGTACGTTAAAACAGAATTTAAAGCAGGCATTTTGAACTCGCTGTATCAGTCTTTGAGATTTATAAAGGAGACGTGGTCCATAAACAAGATCTGCATAGTTAAGTCTGGACAGAACTAATGCCTCAACAATATTAATACGAGCATTCTGACATAGTAGATCACGTATCTTATACAGGACCTTCAGCCTGTAGAAACAGTGCTTGGCCAATACCTTTACATGACCTTCATAACGCAGCTCGCTATCAAAGTGAACACCCAAATCTTTTGCACTGTCCACACGTTCGATTGTATGCTGCAGTATTGTAATATGAGGACATCTGTAAATGATCTTCTTTATTTGGGATTTAGAGCCTATGACCATATATTTAGACTTATTCAGGTTAAGCATAAGGCCATTTTCAGTACACCATGAGCTATCTCCTCCAAATTTTCATTCAAATATCGAAGTGCACGCGCCATAACTGTTCCACGACCTTTGCGAAATCCAGATTGGCGTGACGATAGCAATTTTATTTTCTCTGCATAATCGTACAGTTGGCTATATACAACCTTTCCTAATATTTTAGAGAGAAACGGAAGTATACTTATGGGTCTTAGTTCTTTGAATTCGCAGGGTAGCTCCACTTTAGGCAAAGGAGAAACTAGCGCCTTCTTCCATTGACCGGGGACTACTCCTGTACGTATGGATTGATTAATGATGTTGGTAATCACTGTTAAGGTTCTAGGTAGAGTTAGAAGAACCATATCTCTGCTTATATTATCATCACCAATAGCGTTGGATTTAGTGGACATAATATACCTAGAGATCATTAATTCATCGACTGGTTTGAGCTTAAAAATAGAGTCAGAAAATATTTGAAAGATTAAAAGAAAGCAATACCTATTAGTCGACGTGATAGTATTTTGCACGGGCACATCCAAAAAATATCCATTAAGAGACGCAGGATCACAGAAACAGTCAGGTAAACAATCATTTTTACTAGGATCGATTAAAATTTTTTGTTTATATTGCGCCAAAAGGTTTTGCCGTTTTTTATTGTTGGAATTGTATATGTACTTTAAACTAATCATTTTATTTAACTTTGTAACTGTGAATTTAGTCACGAAAGCGTCGTACAACGCGTTTATTGTTATATGGACAGGATACACCTTCGGTATCGATTGATTATAATTTTTGAAAATAAAAAATGTTTTGAGTGCTTAGCGTAAGTTTTTTTGAAGTTAACGTTCACCGACGATCGCGAGCGCGTTAAAATTTTAGTATGGAATTCGGTACAGCGCCCCTAGCGGTAACTAATAAGAACTGCTTACCACTCCGATGTGCATTGAATATTTTTATTTTAATTGTAATGAGTCATTAATTAAAAGTAATTAATGAAACTGTATGTCAAGCTTAGACTTTTAATTACCTATCTAAGATTTCAAAGCAATATGATATCTTCTACTATCTATCTTATTGACTTACCTGTTTATTTCGTCTTTAACAAATAAGTTATGTAATGCATTAGGTATATTTCAAAGCCAATTTTATTTAATAATTACAGTACTTAAATAAATGTAAATACAAAATTATGATTTGATTACATTTTTGATAAGGTGAGAATAATCATCAAAAAATATTTAAAGTTGGTATTCTTGAAAACACAAAGCCCTTAACTCCCTTTGACCCATTGGTTTCCTAAGCCACAGACATGCTTACTATTGGTTACAGATTAGATTTCGAACGCCCGAGATGCTTGATTCTCAATTCTATGAAATCTTTAAATGTCTGAAAAAAGAAATAAAAGTCCATAAGTGCAACACAGAACAGAACAGTTCAGAGGAAATAAAATGCAATTCTATTTAGTCCGTCAGTCAGACAATAGAAAAATATTAGATTCGTATTTTTTTTTAGTTCACTTTAACAAGAAATAACTTCGATAACAGGCATTCAGTTCAGGAGTGGGGTCTCGCTACGTCACAGTTAAGTAGAAAATGTACCATAACGTGACGTCATGCGAAATTTCAACTCCATGTAACGCCGTAATTTTATGATTACGAAAAAAATAAAAAAATACGTGTTTAATATTTTTTAACACTCTACCTGACGGACAAACAAACAAAAATTTGTCATCATAACTATTTCTTATGAACTTATTTTTAAAAGAATTCTGTCGCTAAAAATGATTATGATTTTGATTCCTAATTGACATTCTCATGATCGTTACTCATGTGTCCTATTAGGAAAAAATAACCCTCTAAACTGGTGACGAGGTCTTTCACGAAAGAAATTTAAAGCATATTGTGGATCATAATCCATATTAATTGTTCTTTTATTAATTTTGGTCGTAATCATACTCACAATTTCACCAACGTCCGGTCCATACATTCCTTTGATTACTTCATTGAGACTCTTTTCAAAAGCCTCCAATGGGGTTCCCTTTACATCTATGTAGTAAGACTCTTGACTAACGTACAGGCTCGTTATAGCCTTCCGAAACATCTAAATTAATTAAACATTTCATTTAGTTGTTTACATTATTTCATTAGGCAACAAACTAACTTACATTCAAGCAAATCGTCAAAACTGTTGGACGTGTAAAAAATACATAAATTAAGCTTTTAATATTAGTTTTTAAGGCGACCTCCGTGGCTGCGGATCTCATACGCCTGCTTTAAAGTGTCGCCGTCTCTAAGGTCTCGGGTTCGATTTCCGAATGGACTTCGCTACATTGTCGCGGGTCTAGGTCTTGTAGTACTCCTTAAGTACTGCTAGTTTGAAGATTTGTACTTTTGAATATCCCGGATATGGACTCGTGTTTAAAAAACAAAAGTAAATTATTTTAAGTAATTAAGAGAGCCCTAGGCGGTTGCTATCCTATTGCTAGAATCATAGATAGAAGAGCCAAGATTTTAGCAATAGGACACGAAATCTTATCGACGTTGTGGCGATATTTCTTTTCATTTTAGTTGATAAAATTGATAAAAAATGCCTGATTTGGTGGAATTCGTTATTTTCGAGATTTGTTTGTTTTCAGTATTACCTATCCCAAAGCACCTTGTGACAACTTAGCATGCTTAGTGGACGAATAATATTTCAGTATTGTTAAAATCGAATTGATAATTTGGTAACTGTCTGCGCCTACACCTGCATCACTAGCGAGGAGGGGGCGCACATCACTACGCCGGACCCGGCTGCCATCGATGCCGGGTGCGGCGCGGCGCGACACTCAGACGACGCACGCATACGCATTCGGACTACTCGACGCGACATATTCATTATATTGAGATTTTCCTCGAATTACAGTCCATTTAAAGTCTTCGTTTCTTTTATTTTTATCTTCAAATAGTCTCAAACAGTAACGATGTATTTATTAATGAAAAATTCTTAAAAAATCGACTTTGTCCCTGGCTCTCTGAAATAGGACCTAACAGGACTGACGAATCTTTTAAGCACTTGCAGATTTTTTAGGCATTTTTCATTAAAATATTTTTCATTATAGAATTGTGAATGCAAAATAGGGATGATGACTTTATTGAATGAATATTATTGAATATATATATTATATTACTATTGAATGAATGAATTGAATTTTTATTTCTTTGTCCGTCAGGTAGAGTGCTAAAAAATATTAAATAGGTATTTTTTTATTTTTTCGTAATTATAAAATTACGGCGATACATGAAGTTGAAATTTCGCATGACGTCACGTTTGAGTACGTTTTCTACTCAACTGTGACGTAGCGAGCCCCCATTTCTCAACTTTAATGCCTGTTATATTTCTTGTTAAATTGAAGTAAAAAAAACACGTATCTAATATTTTTCTATTATCTGACTGACGGACTAAACAGAATTGCATTTTTTTTACCCAGTCATCATCCCTATTGATAAAATATTATATTTTATTATTATGTATTTGTTATAATAAGCGACGCGCCGGATAGACTCAAATCCAGAATTTAAGCGTAGAACTACGAATACGTCTCTGTGAGACGCTGATATTGTCGAAATTAAATTACGCAGACACAGTCATTGGGGGATGTCTTCTAGCTCGATCAAAAAAGCGTATACAGAGAGTACAGAATGATTGTGCAAGATACTTTTATAAATGTTAAGTGTCTTATTGAACCTCAAGTCTCGGGGTATCTGCTGAAAATCAGAGCGGTAGTAAATGTTGCTCATACTGAGCAGAGGCCCGTTTGGTATAACTTACATTTTTTGATTTTTTGCTGTGGAATATTTTGCTACTTTGTATTTTATGCCAAGTAAACGGTTTCTATTCTATTCTAAATCGGGACTTATCTCTAATCTCGATCTCACACTTCACGTAGGTGAGTGTGACGACGGTCGAAGGTTCGTTGCCCCTTTAGCCGCAACTTATATCCAATGCGGTATTTAGTCAAAAGGCGTCCCGCATTGGATCATCCTGTATCAATTACAAATCGTACCAAGGAGTTTTTGAGTTTAATTTAAAATAGAAGAACAAGAAGAAACATTTATTGACCTTAATCACAAACAAATACATTATTACAAAATATGATTCATATAAATATAAAACATACCACTATTAATAAGCAATACAATAATAACAATTACAGAGGTCAATCAGGACCCTGCCTCAGCTTGTGTTGTTGACACATGTGTGTGCCGTAAACGCTAATATTCTGACAGGGTATGTTCGGTGCGCGACAAATACTATTAAATACATTACATTACCTAACCTACTTACTGTAAACAAAAACAAACAAACACGAAACAATGCGAAGTTTTTACAAACAATAGTACCTATCTTGTACTGACACCCCGAATCCAAAATCAATGACAAATTATTGTTCAAACAGACAAAGGCGTGGCCATAAACAAAAATTCATTGCCATACAGATTCTTTTTTTTAAATACAATACATTCTGTAGTTACAAATGGTGAGTTCTTTTTCGTAAAACAATTTAAACGAATACAATTTTACCCATCTCAAAATCACAACACCTAGGACTGAAGTCTTTAATATACAAATGACAAGGACCATTGAACCCATCCAGCTCGACGAAAGCGAGCCTGTTTGTTAGGTAACTGTCGAACCATTTGACTGCACCCGAGTCCTAACCATAGAACTCCAGCTTCGATAAAAGCAATGTTGTATTTATACAATCAAAAACACGGGAGTAGTCTAGAAGCAATAGCACACTGAAATAACCAAGATCCTGCGCAGCCAAAAAAATATCACGTCTGAGAGAGCAGTTCCAGTGCCATGACCCTTACGGAATCCTGATTGAAAGGTGCTTTCAGAGAGGGACCGAGTTTATAATGGTGGTGATTGTGATCCAAGAACTGTGACAAGTTTAGCAGCAACATTTCCAACGAGACATAGTCGTCTCCTTCAGCATTAGACTTTAGTCTCCTTATTGCTTTAAGTACCACATCCCCGTAAACAGGCTGCAGGCTAAAAGTAGCTGAGCTATATCTATAATATTCGAAGTAAGTCAGACTAAAAAGTGAAACATCATTAGTGCCAAGAACATTCGGAAAGTGCTTGTTAATGGCATCTGGATTGTCAAAAATAGAGGTAATTCTGCTTCAACCTTCCCGCTAGGTAATATATTTCTTTTCAGGTTGCGCCATAACTTTTTCGAGTTCCCGATATTATAATAAATATTTTTTTTCAAAATAACTTTTCTTTTCACATTCTATGCCCTATTACTAGTTGCTTCATTGTTAGATAGCTGTCCCTGTGGACTTGGATTTTTTTATTTTTATACTTTGCAAGACTACTGTTTCTTAATCGCATCATACACTTAATAGTATCCGTGATCCAAGGATGTGATGGAGTATTGTTTTTTTTTTGTTGTAACAGAAGCATGTAAATCAAATAATGCGGTAATAACAGATGCAAGACTATCGGCCAGGATACCAACTCCATCTCTACGGTATCTTGTTTCTTCTTCTTTCTTCTGTAGGATATACACCATCCTGTGACTGCACGAAATAATTCCAGTTAACAGAATTGAGGTGCATGTTAAATTGGTCCAACAAAATATTTCCATAGGGTCTATAGGTCACCCATCGGGGTGGAGAATGTTCCTTTTTAATATGGAGTTGCGCCGTTAGCATAACATGTCTACCAAGTTCAGGGATGTGTTTGACTATTACATTAAGTGTCGTTAAGTCGGTACAGATGACGTCTATAAAGCTGTGACTATGCTGAGTTAAGTGTGTCGGCCCAGTAACTACTTGTTTTAGATTCAAGCTAAACGTGAATTGTTCAAAGGCCATGCCACTGCGACTATCAAGAAGATTCATGCTAAAATCTCCAATCAAAACAATGTCATCGTGTTTAGAAAAGGACGTGATTGATTTAGATATTGCATCGAGGAACATATCTTTGTCCTGCCACTGTGACCGGTAAGCAATTCCAATTACTATGTTCAGATTGTACAGACGTATTTTTAACCACATTTGTTCAATTGTTGAATTGACTGGATGTGAGTATATACGTCCTTTTATACCCTTGCCTATTTATGTAGATGTTTTTTTTTAATCCTACCAAGAAATTCGGTAGTCTCGATGACTGACAGTTATTGATTGACAATTAGTTGGTTGATCTTTGTTCAGCCGTATTGTATAAAGATGTGTACAGCTAGCTAATGGCGTCATTCAATTAAAGACTGTTGATTTAACAACGAATAATTACCATGGGTATTCTAGTAATAGGAGTTAAAAAAACAATAATAGGTTATTGTACGTGTAGCCTGTAGCATAGGTACTGATAAAGTAATAAAAATGTTATATTCTGCTAAAAAGATATACATATATTTGAAATTAATAAGATTTATCAATTATAATGATTATGAGAACGCGAGGTCCGCTTGATAGCCGAATGCGAACTGATTTTGTGCTATACAATTTTGCGACTTAAAACTGATGATTCTTGGGAAAATGCAATGGCTCGTGCAGTTACTTAACTGTACTGTTTTTATTTATGAACTATCATCAGCAGCTAAGTGGGGAGGCCGCCATTTGTACTGTTGTTATGTTTTGTTTTATCTATTTTAATTTTCTTTTTCATGTGTGCAATAAAGATTATTAGATAGAATTTAAAGTAGCTTACGTTGGATGTGTTGGGCCAGGATCCGTGCACCAACAGTGGGTGGAAGAAAACCGTATCCCCGGGCTCCATCGGCGCAACAGTCACCCGCTTATTATAGGGAGCCACCGCGTCCACGTCCGGTATCATGAAGTACATTATGTTTGTTAAATCCTACATAATAATGATATAAAATTCAATACCATTTAAGAAATTGAACAGTGTTTGAAAAAAACGAACACCCAAAAGTTTTTTTTTTTAAAATATAAATAATTAAATTGTCTAATTACTTAACGTTATTATTGACATTATAGTATGTACTCGTATATAAATTATTTGAAACCAGAAAAATGCGGTTCCGTTTTCTTTTAATATTTCATAATATAGATATTTTTATATATGCCTTTTAAAAATAAACGTAAGTAATAATCAGAGGTCGGAATTAGGTAGAGTTATTTATGTACTTGCATCGAAATGTTGATATTAATGTGGACCTTCCCTACAAATGTGGCAACATCGCGCGTATTGGTATTTTGCAACTTTGGACATACGATGTCTTTGATGTAAGTTTGGCAACGTCGTGCGTGCAGTAGTTTAAATTGTGTAAAAGTAAATTACTTTTTATTAAAAAAATCACGGGATTTTTTCTGCTCTTTAAAATTTATCTCGGGATTTGAGGCATATCCACTTTATTCTTTCGCTGTATGAAATCAGTGTAAGTACATGAATAACTCCACCTAATTCCGACCACTGGTAATAATAGTAAGTTACCATCAACGTTTTAGATATTATAAAAATATAATAACAAAACGCACCGGCACATTAACTTCCGGATGAATTATATTCTCCTTGTGTGATCCGGGGACGACGAACAGGGAACCATTCGTCTCAAACACAGGGTCTACCGCCGTCCATGCTGTCAATATTTTCTCTATAGGTCTCATCGGCACGTAGAACGCATCCTAACATATAAATAATAATATGTAGGTAATACTCCGCCAGTGATATTTTTTGGTTATCTGAGGCACTCGATTGAGTTATGAAAAGCGTATTCAGTCTGCGATTGTGGAAACTAACCAGCTTAATAAAAGACCCCTTAATAAAAAACATTAAATATCAAATCATCAATGAATATAATTGGTATTTAAGGTTTCTGCACCTAAATCTTGTAATTTCGGGGACACATTTACCGTGTTAAGGATTTTGTGGACCCCAAGGGTCCGCGGACCAGGGTTGGGAAACGCTGCTCTTTATTACGATATTCAAGGGGAGGACCTGTAGGCTCAAGCAAATGGAATATTAATTTATATGTATTTATATGGAATATTAATATATAGATTTTTATTCATCAAAAATCATAAAGACAAAACCAATTTAGGTATTTATAACGATTGTATTCCTAATATTAAGACAGGTGGGTTCAAGGAGAATAGAGAGAGACATGGGATTATCGGGCATTTACTTTGAGAAGGGCAAAAGTAAAGAAACTTGATAAATAATATAATTTCAAACACTATTTTAAGATGAAAAAGCTATGAGAGTTCTGGCAAATACAAGTAATATTTAGATTTTATTGTTCCTTCATTCATATATAGCTTCAAGTCAATTTTGATGGCAGGGCAAGCGACATCTTGCCCAACCTGGGGGCCAATTCTACTAAATGAATTTTGTTTAAATCGAGAATAGGAAAACCATTAAAAAGTGTAGTTTCGTTCGATTACGATCCGTTTTCGATTCGATTTAAACAAAATTTATTTAGTAGAATTGGTCCCCTGTGGCCACGCCAAGCACGCCCGTGGAGTGGGATACAGTGGAAGGAAAAACCCGGCCATCCCGCGCACGAAGGGTTCCGTACCATTATTTATAAATACGGCAAATGAATCACGTTTGTTCTAAAATATTTATTTTATTATGTTTTTAATATATTTTGTTATAGCAACAACAGATATACATCATCTGTGCAAATTTTATTAACAAATATTAACATTAAAATTCGTAAATATGCGGTCTGTCTAAAATAAATATTCAAAGCTTATTTATTTTTACCAAATATAACACTAAATCTTTTATTAAATACTTGTCACATACTTCCCCTTTTTACTGCTGAGAACCTCGACAGTGGTACCTTTTGAAAGAATTTTAGTAAACGGGAAATAATTAATTGATACTCTACTTAAAAGTTTGAAATGATTAATTCTTGTGTTAAAGTCACTGTTCTACTTACCTGATGTGGTGGATGCCATTTGCTGCCAGGTGGTTTATTGATGACCATGCTATTGAGCATGGATAGGTTCTCTCCAATTAATTGTTGAATAACGTGTAACAAACGCGGGTGTTCGTGGTATTGGGAAAACACTGGGTCGAAATTCAGGAAGTTTATCTAGAAGTACATACATATACCTAATTAAAATGAATATTTTGTTTGAATTGGAGAATGTCGTGTAACCAACTATTTTTTTATTGATTAGTCGCAATTATTTACGATTGTTGGAATATTATCGTAACATATTTATCCATCAAAATTAAAAGTAAAAGTGCACGAATAAGTAAATGGCGAAGTTAAGGGTATCTTATTTTTCGCGATTTTATTATAAATGACAAGAACCCTCCTTAGAAGTATGATGTTCTTTTTTCCACAAAACGAGTTTAAAACATATGTATTGTCTTTCATTCCGAGATAAAACGCTAATTTGCCTATCCTATTTTCGATCTTTGGACTGAGGATCAGCGATTCCTTGACGTTGATACATTAGGAAGTATTTTAATACCTAGGTTTATATAGATACCATAGAATAGCATTTGAGGTGTTTAAGTGTACCTTATTAACATGGTCCTCTACATTCTGTTTTTCTTTAATCAAACTGACGTCTCTCACTATTCTAATCAATTTCTGTGGGTCGGCGTTGTTACATACATCATAAAATCTTTTACTGAAAATAAATGCAGAAGTTTTCATAAAAAGTAAAAAAATGAAATTATTTTAACTTGCTGACGGAGGACTATGGTATAGTTAGAATTAATAGGGAGAAGAAACGCAGAATGCTAGTGTAACAAAGGTACATTGTTTATTGATTCCTGGCAAATTGTTACAAGGCTGCTGTCCCAATGTGACGTCACAGTCGTCCCTCAGCCTCCTCGGGAGCGCGCGTTTTTTTAGTAACTATTAATTACGTACGTGTAAGTGAAGAATACAAAACTATATAAGATATCTATTCATTATTTCACATTACCTTGTTAAAAGTGTTTAAACCTAGTGTCCGTAAATAAATATATAAATATATAATAACAATTTGATGTCTCAACATTTTGGTCAAACGGTTTGCCAAAAATAATATAGCAATCTTATTTGCGGTGACGTATCAACTTGTTGACGTATCAAATGTCCAAAAGCAATGTCCAACATACTTTTTTTTTAATAGCCGTTCATATAGGATGTTCACAAGACCTAGTAGTAAATGTAAAAGAAACTAAAGCAATCAAGGCTTCTAAGGTCTCTGTCCTTTTACTTCTAAGCTCATAAAGGCTCACCCCTGTTCACCGCTGCAGTGTATGCAGTAGCTTGTCCTTTTTTTCTTTAGTTTCGTCATTTTTAACGTCGAGTAATCTAAGCACATGTACAAACAACCGAACTTTCTGTTAGTTTTAACCATCCATAAGGAAGGCTTGAGCCCCTACAGTGGGGACGAAGTAAAGGGCTGATGATGATGATGATGACTATCTTACAGGTGGAGTCAATGACTTTGGAGTCGAGTGTTACTTAAGTCCTAGTCGGCGATCCCTAGTAGTAATTTCGAATTATTATGACACTTGAAGGTCTTATTTGTCCTCGAACGAAAATTTCAAATCGTTTTTTTATATATTTTTTTTAATTCCGCATTCGAAGAAGTTGAATAGGCCATCAGGTGTCATGTTAATTGGTGCCGGTAATAGTGATGCGATTTTAAATGTTATGCAAAAACGTAGTCCGTCGTCATACCTGACATTGGCAATAGTGTCCATATCAATGAGTCCTTTAATTACTAAATATCCGTTATCATCAAAGAATTTAAGTTGCTCCTGGGTCAAATAATATTTGTTTGGATGTCTGAAAATAGAAAATATTTAACTGCAAATTAAATACCGCAGACCCGACCGGGAATCGAAACTTGTGACTTCAGAGGCGGCGAAACCGCCGTGTGAACCATGACATGTCCTCAGACATGAACTTACTTTGAAATTAACTGAAGGAACTCGGGATCCTAAGCTGATGCCCAGAATTCTATTTACCGACTTCAAATTCGAAAATTCATTTTATGTATATTTTTTTTATGTAACTATATGTTGATCGATTTTTCCGTGAGTTGTCTCTAGTTATATTTTGATATTTATTTTCATGCACTTGTACCTACTGCGGAGAGTCCAAATAATTCATTAGACATCTGTCATTAGAGAGTAAATAAGTAGCTTACTTCAGTACGAGAACTAACAACCTACGTATTGTTATATAGATGCTGTAGATCATTTCAATTTAAAAATATATAATTATCTCTTGAAGGCCGATCAATTTTAACTCAATTTAACATATTCTTGATGAAAAACGCTTAAAATGATATTGACAGGAACTCGAACCCACGACCTACAGGACTGACGAATATTTCAAGCACTTGTTACTTTTCGCTACTACAGAGCGTATACCTCTTATCGTTTAAGCAGCGTTCACTAAAATAGGTGCCCTTGGAGGTACTTCTACTAGGGAACCTTTTAGTGGGATAAAAAGTAGCCTATATGTTAATCCAGACTAAGAATCGGCTGTATACCAAATTTCATCAAAATCCGTTTGTGTGTTTGTTTGTGTGTGAATAAGTAACAAACATCCAAATCTACAAACTTTCTCTTTGTACTTGTAATAAAAATTCTATATGCATAAAAAAATCTTAAATATTTTATACATACTAAGAGCTACGTAGAAACCGAATTATAATGTTTTTTTTAACGCCGGCGCTAAGAATTAAAGGACTCTAGAAAAATTAAAAAGTATTTTGTTCTTCAGTTAGCCACACTCTTGGTATCAAGGTCCAAGGTGCAAATGTCTACTTATAGTATTCTATACTTAACAGATTTCATTAAATAGTTCAATAATATTGTGGGAGAATTCAAATTACCATAATAACAAAATCACCTGATCGATCACGGACGTTTTCGAGCGCTGGCTGTGGTATATAATCTTCAGTAATAAATAATTTTTAAGTAATTTCGTAAATTTTATTTTAATTTTTTGTAGTAGATAATAAGTATCGGTTTCAGATTTTTTTTTTTGTATTAGACATACACTCTCTGAATGGACGTTAGGACTTTGACAACAAAGTGTGTGTTTTACTAAAATAAAAAATAACACCTGCGCTGCTATCGTAAATTATTCACAAAGTGTTGATTTGATAATATGTCGATCTTTACCATCAGTCCTGCAGCGCCACCGACTTGTGTTAGAAATAAGTTCTAGAATCATTAACATCGGTTTTCACTAACCTAAATTAAGGCATAGCTAACTAAAATACGCTTAATCTTACGAATCGCATAAGCAGACTAGTTTAATTCCAAATATACATTCTTTTTTTATCCCTTAATACTTTTTTAACCTGTCATATTACGCAAATACCTAGCGCAAGGCGCCATATAACGCATGTCATAATTTTAGGCATTGCTTATAATGTCGTTACGTGCCATTGTTGAAATGCTTTTTCACCTTAGAGGATTCCTAAATATTCTCAACAACTCTTAAGCTTAGTGGAAACGGCCATAAGTCTCTGACAAAATAGGGACAAATTGCCAAAATACTTGAAGATAATTGAGTCTCCATGGCGCTACTGCACTCTGACAAAATAGGGACAAATTGCCAAAATACTTAAAGATAACTGAGTCTCCGTGGCGCTACTGCACTCTGACAAAATAGGGACAAATTGCCAAAATACTTAAAGATAACTGAGTCTCCATGGCGCTACTGCACTCTGACAAAATAGGGACAAATTACCAAAATACTTAAAGATAATTGAGTCTCCGTGGCGCTACTGCATTCTGACAAAATAGGGACAAATTGCCAAAATACTTAAAGATAATTGAGTCTCCGTGGCGCTACTGCACTCTGACAAAATAGGGACAAATTGCCAAAATACTTAAAGATAATTGAGTCTCCGTGGCGCTACTGCACTCTGACAAAATAGGGACAAATTGCCAAAATACTTAAAGATAACTGAGTCTCCGTGGCGCTACTGCACTCTGACAAAATAGGGACAAATTGCCAAAATACTTAAAGATAATTGAGTCTGTTTATTCATCGATTATGTTCTTAGAGTCATAGTAAGTGAATTGGGCGGTTACATCCCTTGCCGTTATTTCATCGTCTATTTATTAGACAGCGGTGATAATGACTTAAGTTAGGATAAAGAAAATATTTTCAATATAATAAAAACCTTGTGGCCTTACCAGGTTCTAAAAAACCTTCACCTTCGAAATTCGATATCACAAAATATATTATAAAAGTAGTACTTACTTTTCCATGATTATATGTTTTTTTTTTTTCTTGAGAATGATATTTTCAAGTGAATAGAGATAATAAATAGATATTATTTATGAAAAGTGTTTTCCACTCAACGAACAAATAGAATTGTTAATGAAGCACAGAACTCGTAGTGATGATAATAATATTATGATGCGGGATTAAATTTGTATACTTTTAGGGTTTCGAGTAGCAAATTTTAAGATTTGTTAAGCGGAATATTGTAATGTGTTCCGTAGTGTTCCGGTTTTATCTATTAAGGAAGAGAGGCGTAATTCATCAATGGTGAGAGGTGGTTTATGTTTTTGGGTGCACTTATATTTACACATCCAAATGTTCCCATTTATCTTCATCCATGATCGCCTTAGATTGATTTTGTTGCATAAGATTTTCCCTGAAAGGTTCCCGATTCGTTAGAAATAGTTTTTACGGCCGTTTCTGAAAGTACAAAATCTCAACTTATTGATTTTTAATAACTTATTTCTTTTTACTAGCAAAGATAGATATAAGATAACGAGCAAAGATTTTGTTTCTTTGTTTGTTTGCAAACTCCTGGACCCATTTTAAAATTTTTTTCACTTACGGACAAATTACGCGGGCGAAGTCGCGGGAAGACATCTAGTTGTAATAAATATAATAACATTGACAGCAGTAATATTATAATATTTAAATACAGTATACAACACAATAGGTAATGCTTGGAAATATATTTTAATAAATTCAAATTTATTCTGTGCATAGATAATTAAAGATTTAAAGTACGTACTACATATAAATACATACGTATAAATAATGATATTAGTACATAAATCAGGAAAAAGTGAGTACTATTTTTATAAACGAATTTATGACGATGCGTTAAAACGAACCACCCTTCATGATTATGATAAAATGTACTTTTTATGTTTTACCCGACTGCAAGGGTTATGTTTTTCAAAAAATTAGATATTTTTTGTATGTAATCCTCTGAATGGATTTAGATAATTGAGGATTATTAACGGTAAGGGCGCTTGTGCACTGAATTTTCAGACTCGGCGGTCCGATTTTTTCCGGTCTGGAATGACATGAAAAACCTGGCTGAGTAGCTTGTGCACTTGTTCGTTTTTTTCCTGATCGGAGCGGCGCAGTTTAGGGCAGCTCTCTTTGGAGCGTCGGTAATTGTTTGCTTTGTTACTCTACGTGCGAAGACGTAGAAGACATAAAAAAATTTGGGTATTAGTGAAAGGTACCTAAATAATGATCTGACAGGCTCATTTCACATAAAGCATAATAAATTGAGGCAAGACGAAAGCATTTTTTTTTACTACCATCGGATGACTACTATCAGATGTATAAAAATTATACCCTTACTAATTTAGGAACAGCATTATTTACATACAAAAGCTAAAAATATCTATAACATTAGGATAAAATTACTGATAATGTTCTAGTACTTGATGTTTAAATTTATAATTGTGCTATTTTTATGCTATTTAAATCAACTTCAAGCGATTACAGACATAGACCAATCGTTGGTACCATTTCGTAAACAAATCGAAATTAGTGCCGTGTAAGCGGAGAATTAATATGCTAGATGAACTGTACGATGGCAATTAAATCAGCCGTCCTTATTGTAAGTTTTAAATTTCATGATTTAACTAAAATCATTGTAAGAACAGTTGGCTGCATTATATATATACTTACTAGCTTTTATTTTATACGCGTGGTATAGTTTCAATGAGCAGAATTCTCTTTCTTTTAGAATATTTCTGTTATCAAATATTTATTTATACTTATCTTATCAATTGTTTAAAAACAAATTTTAATAATGACAAATTTTCATACAAACTTACATCTTCTATTTTCACCTATTTTTCGTGAAAAAAGGTAGCCTAAGTTCTTTCTTAAGGTTAAGTCTATTTCTGTATCAAATTCCATTAAGATGGATTCAGTTCTTTATGCGTCTAAGCATAACAACACTTATTTGACTTACCTTAAGTTATCGATAATTTTAATACGATTCTAGAATCTAAAAATTATCGATACTAGATCCATACGATGATCAAATTAGAACTACATATATCGAGTTTGCCAAAGCATATGCAGTGATATTAAATCATCATATAAAATATCGCATTTTATAATATAATATATCAAAAATTAACAATATCGCCGAAATAAATATCGATTATTCATAAATCGGTTATTTTTCCAAGCCTACTCCGCAGGCTCATGAATTTTACGGATTGCAGTGCACAAGCGTAAACGTCCTTTTCATTGCCGCCATCACGGACCTGAAAAAACCGGTCCGGAATAGAGAAAAATAAAATTCCGGACGGTAAAATTCCTGACAGTGCACAGGCTAGCTTTACCTACATATGGCCAGACATATGGGACCGGGAAAATCGGACCGCCGGACCTAAAAATTCAGTGTAGTGCACAAGCGCCCTAACTTAAGTTTTTTACGTTTCATATGCCAAAAGTCCTAGTTTTATCAAATTGCTATCAACTGATTATAAAAAAATATAAATCAGAAACGAAAACCTGTTTAAATGATGTTTAATCACATCATTCCCAGGTATTGTTAATGGTAAACTAGCAGAATTATACGTTTTTTTACGCATAGAAATATTTTCAGCTGCCCGTATGGCCCGTATGGGTCTCCTCCTGTCTTTGATGCAATGCATTGAGGGCAGATCCACTTCTTTGCCTGTTCCTGGGTAAGATGAACACTTGTGGCTCAGAAAATATGGAACTTTTTGCGGCAATTCGGACATGTGCAAATTTTTAATTTTTCACCTTTAATGCCTTTAAGGCATCCGTAGCGGTTCATTTTGACAGTATATAAAAGATTTTAATTGTCTAGTTTATATATAACAAAGATCGAACCCAAATAGAAGCACGCCACGCCGTCAAACGAGAAAATTTCAAAAGAGGCACTAAAAAAAATTACTTGTAACATACTGTTTTCATCGCAATTTTGAGTACTGTTTAGACTATTATAAAGGATTCTTGATAGGCTATATGGGTATATAAAAGTTAATTTGTAATAATTTCGACGAAACAAAAATATACGTGTCTTCCCTTTTTTTTTTGACGCTGAGAAATGCGTTACGCATACCCGCTTCACCCTGCGCGGGCTCCACGGGTGATGTGGGACTCCTCCTGTGGCCCCACCCCCGAAGGAGCTAGACAAGAAACAGGAGTTCACCCTCTAAAACTCAGCGATGTCCCTCGCATGGAAGGCGATGCGCGGGATCGGCCCGGAGGCCATACACCGCGCGGTTCTCCCCCATTTCGGCCCGCCCCAAGGGCAGGTCCCACTCGGGTTGGGGGTACGCCTCAGAGACATTCGAGGCGTACTCCCACGACGAGGCGGGAGCGTGCAATGCCGACCGGTGCGCGAACCGGCCAGCTACCCCCGACTAAACACCTGAGATGCGCAACTGTGCAATCTCCAATCCCCTACTCATCGTGTTGGGAGGCTCACACAGGCATAGCCCTTATTGTGGGCCTTTATTGAAATTTACGTGAAATTTACTAGAATGCATTGGTATTTCCAAGTTCAGATTCTCCGACGACCTTAAAACTCTTGCGTGTGTATCGTGAATGTATGTGAAGCGCTCCTTTTTTTACGCTGAGAAATGCGTTACGCATTCCCGCTTCACCCTGCGCGAGCTCCACGGTCCCCAACGGGACTACTTCCCGCGCATGCCGTTTTAAATCCCTGTTTCAACCTTTTTATTACAATAAAAAGCAACCTATGTCCGATCTCAAGTCAACTATTTTTAGTGGGTTAGGTTTGCGAGCTTAACAGAAATATACACAGATCTACTTTGGCTATATAATATTAGTAAGGAATAATTAAACTCTTATACTATTATATAATAAGAGATAACCAGACCATTACCAAATAAATAGACTAAGAACAAAATAAATCACAATTCTTTGATCGACTTTTAAACTTACAGCTGTTTTTTTTCGATTTTAAATTGAGGACATTTTGTGTGAACTCGTATCCAACTGGGTAAAACATAGAAATAAAACAAATAATAAAACTGGTTAACTGTCAAGAGTCACGATACGAAATACAAATATTAATTTAATTAATAGGAAAATATCTGCTAATTTAGAATAAGATTACTATGATGTTCAACTTTGTAGACACTACAACGAAAAGCTATATTTGTTTATTTAAGGTGCAACAACAGCATATAATGAACCGACTAATCCTATTAATATTATAAAGGCGAAAGTTTGTAAGTATGGATGTATGGATGTTTGTTACTCTTTCACGAAAAAACTACTGGACGGATTTGGATAAAACTTTACAGCAATATAGGTTATACATCAGAATAACACATAGGGTACTTTTTACTGGGAAAACTTCTCACTCCCACGGGATACCGACTTCCACGCGGACGAAGTCGCGGGCGTCCACTAGTTTCCAATATATTTCAGATTTAAGGTTTCACTATGACTCTGAAAACCTTAAAGCTAAGGTTTTCAGAATAAAAGTTTGAAATACAGATGGAAAAAAAAACACAAGTGCAAAGTATATAAGTACAAAATTTAATTTAAGAAAACTGAAAATTTACACAAATTTCTTTAAACAAAACGATAATGCAGTTTAATTTAGAATAAACGCCATCTAGTACAGCAAAGCTTTAATGTTTCTTTTTACTACATTACATTTCAAATCAAATCAAATTATTTATTGGTCTTAAACTCAAAAAGATACACTCGGTAAGTCTTTTACAATTGAAATATAACCAAAAATTAAAAAGTAACAAAACTTAATCAATTAAATTATAACCTATTACCTTCCCAGGGTCTTAAACTACACAAATATAATATTTTCTATCCTCTACGTAATAAACCGAATGTTTAAGTCTCTTCGACTATTAGTCAGTATGTCAGGATATCTCCTTTTTATATAAAATGTATAGAAAACAATAATTAAAAAGTGTTTGACTATAAAATTAATAAGTACAAAACATATTTGAAGAACACGGATACCTTTAAACTTATTCCTTTACTTTTAAACTTACTGTTCTTATTCAAAGATTAGATTTTAAACCACGGCCGAGACGTTTGATTCTAGCTTCTGTGAACTCTTCAAATGTCTGAAAAATAAATAAAATCGAATAAAAAGTTTGCACACTAACTGTTGCCAAAGTCCAAGATCATTGGTCAATATGAGCTATCAAGGTGAAGTTATGAATTATCAAGGCACATCTATCAGAAAGTTGCTAATTACCGCAATGCCAGACAATGTACATACATACAGCAAATATAGATGCACTCTGCAAATGATCGCAAACACTAAACTCAGTAGGCTAAATCTAGTGGAAATCAGAGCAATTTCTAAAGAGTGCTAGAACAATAATAGAACAATAATAAAAATAATAGAAGTATTAATTAATTGTTGCAAAGTAGACCTTTTGTATAAATATGTCACTCATAGTAATGTAAATAAAGAATGTATAAAGTAAATATTAATATCATTTAAATTGGTATTAAATAGTAAAATTATATTTAAGTAAAACTAAAAATGTAAATAATAGGTAGTAAGTATACAAATTGTTAAAAAGAAAAACGAGAAAACGAGACGAAAAGGAAAAGTTCCGATGACAAAAGTTGAAAAAACTTACACCTAAGTAGTAAAAGAAAAGGAACACAGACGTATACAAATAAATAGCACAAAAAGCCTGCTAAGGATAAAAAAGAACATTCCCTATTAAAATCGTTATCAAACAAATACGTAAGTTTACGGAAAATTATAAAGAAAGATTAATCACTAGATGCTGTAAATCCGATCCGTGCGTTCTCTTCAATTCGTTATTGATTTCAATTTCAAAAGTCTCCTGGAGAGATCCTTTAACGTCTATGTATTCACATTCTTGGCTGCTGTATACGGCTGTTATAGCTTTCCTGAAAAGCTGAAAATAATCATGTCTGGCTCATTTTTGTGACTAACAGCTTTTAAAATATTCTAATTATTTGTTTTAATTCACTTATAATGAAACAAACCATGTAACAGTTTACTAAATATACTCTTCTCTCTTTTGCATGTTTAGCTGATGTGCATAATTCCCTTTGACGTTTTGATACAAATTAATTTAAACAAAAAAAAAACAATAAAATTAATTGTAGGTACACTGGTAACAATTATAGTATGGAGGTAGGCAGACATGGGAGCACAGCGCGGCACAATGGTGAAATAGTATATAAACGACCTTTCGCGCAGCAATACTTCATTTTTTAAGTGATTTTGAAATATTTTATAATTAGGAGGTAGGTACACTTTATAATTCATTTACATGTTAAAAATAGTATAGGTCTTAAAACACTCCCTTGTGATACTCCATTTTAATCACTATACTTTGATCTCATTTTTATTAATAAGAAGACTAAAAATGTCCTCATACTAGTCGGTTCAGTAAAAATTAAATTTCTGTACAAAAACAGTATTGCAATTATTATTGTTTTTTAGACTATAACACAAAATAAATAACCTAACAAAAACATACCATGCGTAAACAACAAAGCTAGCTCATTCTATGATTCTATACTTTGTCATCGCATTTCTTAACATTTTTCCAGCTTTATTTCTTCATACCCATTTAAAATTATTGAGGTATTGTTGAGTAATAGGTATCTGAGAGCAAATCAAATCCAGTTAGTACCGCTTCTGGGAAAACTGCCGAGCACAAACCTATGTATCTAATCTAGAATACACCCACGAGAGTAGGGGTGGTTTCTGAGAAGTGTATCTGCAATAGAGGCTTACACCCTAACGCAAGAAGATCCATAGCTAGCAATTTTTGAATTGGTAGCTCTATACCTATAGCGCTTTTGAACAAAATGTAAATGTTCTAAACTGGGTCAAGGATTTCGATGACCTAAATATTTTCATCGTGTAACTAGGACTTATCTGGTAAAAATTTGACCCCGACAGTATGCTTGCTACTTTCTAAACTCACTAATCAGGAAATCTTGTACTATAAATATTGCTTTTAGTTTTAAAACCGAAAAATTATTATTTCGATGAGCCAGTTTTAGTTTTTAAAAGACATACTTTTTTAAAGTAGTAGTACATTTAAAAAAAATTATCTCGATAAATTAAAAGCTTTAAACAAAAAATAATAATCACCAGAATCGTTTTTTTAGTGACGAAAACATCAAACGAATTGAGAACCCCTACTTCATTTTAAATTAACACTATTAACATCACTACGTAGTGTACATTAAAGTTATGCCCTTTGCTATCGAACAATAGATACCTAGTGTCATTTAGTGAGTAATAAATCCTCTTTCCTCACTAGATTCACAAAATTATTAGCATATGCCAAAGTTGAAGCGACATAACCCCGAAATCGGGGTTCTTCCATCGGAGCCCGCCTCACCTACGCTACTCTGCATTCTACGTGTCGAGTCTTCGTTGTTCACCACTGACTGGTGCTGACGTCGGGTCTACCCTTGCCTGCCTGGCCCGTGGCACCCTGACACCCCAAACTCGACATTAAATATCCTATTCTACTTTAAAGCTAAGCCCTCTTAATTCAAGATACAAGAACCATACGAGCGAATCTGTACCCACCCCCTGAGAAATAGAGTTTGTTAAAACATTATTTTTTTAGTTCTTTTTAAATAAAAATATTGGAGAAGTAATAATGATATGACAGATCAGCCAGTATTCATTTTGCTAGAGCTAGAAATAATACGGTTTAGACTCATTTTTTTGTGATATCAAGCTTTCTTTCTTTGTAAATATCTCAAGAATTTAGACCATGCAATAATTTATTGCGAGGTTGTGATTGGAGAGGCCGTGTTTTAAGGTCCATTTCCCCTGCGTTATTAAAAAAAGGGACTTTACAAATCATTTGTTGGTTCAACTAAAATTGCAACTCCAACTGGTATTGCCAACGCCTAATAAGATGCTCGCTGGAGTGCTAAAATATGTTTCAGTTACAGTCCCGCATAAGTAAGGAGAGACGAATGTAGTTGAAACCGATTTCAGGTGGGTTTGTAGCACTCGAGTTATGGAATAGACTCGGCAGCCAAAACATATTAAGGCGACAGGACCTTACTAGATAGTGTCCCATATTTATATATTTGAATCACTAAGTGTTATTTATAAAGTAGCTTACGTTGGATGTGTTGGCCCAGGATCCGTGCACCGTCAGGGAGTGGAAGATGACCGTATCCCCGGGCTCCATCGGCGTTAAACTCAGCCGCTTACTGACGGGGGCCACCACGTCTACGTCCGAGATCGTGAAGAACATTTGATTTTTAAAATTCTGCAAATCAGCACAATGTTATAATTCTGCAAGGCCTAAGAAACTTCCCAATTATTGGTGAAAAATATTTAATATACACTTATGTTACAGTTACATACCAATTGAATAGTGGGATTGCACAACATTACAACAATAAAAAATTGGTGGCCTAAGTAAGCAGCGCCACAGACAGCATAATATTAGAAAGAAAAAAAAATTAATCACTGCACATAAATCATATTTGGCTCGTTATAATAAATAATAGTCACGTTCAATTTCTTTTTCTTATTATTTTCTTATATACAAGAAATAAAGTGTAAAAATATGCAAATTCAAATTCAATATCGTTTATTAAGTCTAGGCTGTTACAAGCTCTTGTGGAAGTCGAAAATTATATCAACGATTTGCAAATCTACGGCGGCAGACCTAAGAAGAACCAGCAAGAAACTCAGCAACGGCTGTTTTTTCATTAGACTATGAAGTCTCATTCTATTACAATATCAGAGATAAAAAAAGCAGTATTTTTTTCGGTAATCGATCAATATGTGGAGTCATACATATACGTTGACAAATTAATATACAATATGTATAATTATAGAAAATGGACAAAAATCATTAATCCAGAGCAGACTCCTCCCCTCTTGAAATCGGGCCCGATACCTCTAATTCAATGAATCAGTAAAGGTTATAAAATGCCATTCTAAATAATATATAAATCAAAATTACCGGCAAACAGACTTCCGGATGCATTACATTCGTCTTGTGTGATCCGGGTATGACGAACAGGGAACCATTAGTCTCAGACACGGAGTCTATCGCCGTCCATGCTGTCACTATTTTGTCTAAAGGCCTCATAGGCACATAGAAGCCATCCTAACACATAAATAATAATAGCATCTTTATATTTTTAAGGTACTACTTCATGTCCGTAGAGATTAAGGAGCCACTTTAGATTTTAAAAAGAAATATACTCCCTTATTTAGTAGGTTCGTCAGTGGTATTTTATGGATATGAAGTCTTTGAGGGGCTCGATGCAGTTATGTCACACTGGTCGATGACATCCGCTTGAAGCGTGTGGGCGGTTTCTATTTCCTCGCTTTCGTTGGTTGATGAATGACCAACGAATGTGATGAGATCGCAGAGGTACCCCGTACTACACGTGCTTACCACATCAAACAGTGTAAACTGAGTCATTATGAGCAAGTTTTTTTTAAGCTAGTAATCGAATGACAGACTTAAATATACTATTTCGAACTCCTGCATGCTTGAAAACGCACATTATGCGTTGATCAAGGTTGCATTAACTGCTCTTACTGGGCGTGCCTGGTGAGTCATGTGGGAAATAAGTTCCAGCAGTGGGCACATTTTCACATATTATATTAATTTATTACAGTCCTATATAAAATATATAGTATGTTCTCAGTATCTTTAGGAGACTTGCACTTTAGGTGTTTTTTAATCATTTGAAATTTCTTCATGGGAATCACGAAATTTCTACCTAAGGTTGATATGTATTAAGAGTTATTCTTTAGTTAAAAGAAGAAATTGTTCTACTAACCTGATGTGGTGGATGCCATTTGGAACCAGGTGGTTTATTGATTACCATGCTATTAATTAAGGATATATTCTCCCCGATTAATTGAGATACAGCGTGTAGCAAACGTGGGTGTTCGTGGTATTGCGAAAACACTGGGTCGAAATTCAGGAAGTTTATCTAGAATTACATACAAACAAAAGACATACAAAGAGAAACTTAAATAAACTTTTGACTTTGACAAAGCGGTTATATCCAATTATAGAACTTTAACAACTTCTGCACTAGTGTAGTGACTAAATGGGTTATAGTTATAAGGGTCTCGTCTTATAAATTAAAGTATCTTTATATACTTTGTTAAAATTAAAAGCGTATATTATCTTCTTGTATTATCCATATCTGTTAATTCCCAAAATACAACATGATAGATCAGTACATACCTCAGAAAATGTGTTAATTTTTAACCAGCCTTATATTGACTATTATCTATTGTAGACGCCAAAATATGATTTGCCTAGAAATTTGATTTGCCTCCACTGGCTCAGAGCCTGGGTACGCCCATGGAAACTAAATTGGTACATTTAAGTGGTTTTATATGAGATCATATTCATATAAAACCCTAACTTTACTACTGCTATATACCTTAGGATAATTGCGATATAATTTTAAAAGTTTTCGATACACCGTCACCCAATGTAACAAAGATTTACTCGTTCATCTTATTGTTGACAATAGCTTTGCCAGCCTTTTTTATCCAATTGGATTTTCATCACTTTTATTATTTCTGTTATTACTCTCTATTTTGTGTTGTGTGTTTTGCGCGTATATTCCAATATCCTTTTGTCTTCACTTTACTTATATTTTTAAACAAACTCTAAACTACAGTCCACGTGCTAAGCTGTCGACAACACTTGTGTCAAGGAGGTACCTTATTTACAGTTTCCTCTATAGTACGTTTTTTGATAACCAGATCCCAGTCTTTAACTACAACAATCATTCCTTTAGGCACGTTGTTACAGACGTCATAAATTCTTTTCCTGTAAAAATACAGACATCATAGAAGTTAATCTAAACGATCGTTGTCTCAACATTTTTCTCAGAAAAATTGGATATTTAGTCTTAATTATCATTTCTGTGCTGAGTTTTCGTAACATACATATACAGGATTAAAGGTATCATGTGCAGGAGCTGTCATAATGAAATCTGACTGTGCCCAAAAGAAATTAAAAGACACAAAATCCATATAAACTGTACTCCTTATAAGGAGAAAATTAATTTAGTACTTAAGTAGAGACATTGGATTATGTGGCAATAAGAACCACTAATGGTTTATTTTTGTGTTTGTTAGGTATTGTGGTGCCGCACTTTGGTCCCGGAATTACGTAATATCAGCATATTGAGTCTGGGCGATCGCTTGGGTATGCCGGTCCTAAACTTTGTACGTGGTTATACCTGAGAAGCTCGATGGTGTAGTGGATGACCACCACGGCCCACGCCAGAGGATAGGTGACAAAAAAAAATTACCTCTATAGCTACTCCGTGTTTCGGAAGGCACGTTACGCCGTTGGTCGCGACTGCATTTGCAGTCGTTAATACCCTCCAATCCGCATTGGGCCAGCGTGGAGAACAGTGAGGACGTACAAAGAACTTTTGATGTTACCTGAGTGTAGCTATGGTGTCAAAATCAATAAGGCCTTTAATTATTATAAATCCATGATCGTCGTAGAATTGACGTTCTTCATGGGTTAAAAAGTATCTAAAAAATTAAAAAATTTAACTGTTAATTATTGTATATGGCGCTGAGTTATACCAGAGTGGTTCTGTGGTGGGGTGGCTCGCACGGCGAATGAACTAAGAGTCTTATATTTTAATCAAATTCTAGAGGAATTAATCTAGAGTCTAAGGAACCCTCCTTCCGGATGTTTTCGATCATTATGCTGAATACCGAATCTCATTTCCAGGAAGAGTTTAGCTAAATATACCGTAGATTATAATGGGTGGACTATTTTGGCACCTCGACTTCAACATAATAAAATGGGAGTAAATATAAATGATAAAATTCGCCAGACGGCGGAAAAATTGTAATAACATTTTTCCTAAGCAACAAAAGAGGTGGCTTGGCACCCGCGGGGGTACATGACGGTCTACCCCGTCAATTTTTTTAATAATTAATAAGGTTTTTGACATTAATGCTGTAATATATACGTTAGATATCCGCTTCTGTCTGGTGCACCAGCTCAAACATACAGAGAGCATTACCTATGTACTCAAAATCAAAACCTAAGGTTCACGATATTTACTATAATGGCATCAAATAAAAAAAAAAAAATACAAAATAATATATTAAAAGTATACAAAAGCTATAAAAAAAGGGTTTTTCATCGTCGATCGGCATGATAGCGGACATTTTTCTGTAAGCGGAAAAACAAATCCAAATTGAAGATAGATTTTATAGTTTAGTTTAAAGAGTGGTACAAAAGAATTGTCACCTGTATGTGCTTAATTTCTTCAATTTGTGATAACTCACTCTCTACTTTAAAATTAACCAATTATGTTGGAGATAGCAGGAGGTTGAAGTACAACTTTAGGAAACACTTCGTTCTTAAGGGTGCAGAATGTTTCAATTAAAATAAGTGCGGCACGGATAGTTTGAGAATATTTTTTTACTTAAATATTTAATCAAAATACATAATATATTCTATGCATAGTTAATCTTTTATTAATGCCGCCATCGCGTTTATCGTTTTTCCTAAAGGTTGACTGGGAGAGAATGCCATTAGCATTAAGTCCGCCTTTTGTACCTTTTTTTTATTACGGGTAAATAAATAAATAATAAAAATGGTTTAAAAAAATGGGTTGACTTAGGGCGCTTGTGCACTACACTGAATTTTCATGTCCGGCGGTCCGATTTTTTCAGGTCCGATATGTCAGGCCATATGTAGGTAATGCGCGCTTGTGCACTGTCAGGAATTTTACCGTCCGGAATTTTACTTTTCTCTATTCCGGACCGGTTTTTTCAGGTCCGTGATGGCGGCAATGAAAAACGTGTTTACGCTTGTGCACTGCTGTGTCCGAGATCCGGAAAATTCATAAGGAATAGGCTTGGGAAAAAATAATCGATTTGAATCGATATTTATTTCGGCAATATTGTTAATTTCCAATAAACTTATAATCGATATTTATTGTTGATTATAAAATGCTATATACTTAGCTAGATTTTAGAATCGTATTAAAAGTATCGATAGCTTAAGGTAAGATAAATAAGTGTTGTTACGCGTAGACACCTAAACAACTGAACTCATCTAAATGGAAATTAATATAGTAAATAGACTTAATTTTAAGAAAAGACATAGGCTACATTTTATCGCGAAAAATAGGGGATGAAAGTTTGCCTGGAAATTTGTCATTATCAAATTTTTTTTAGACAATTGATAAATAAAGATAAATATTTGACAACAGAAGTAATAATAAAGAATTAACAAAAGTAATTAAGTGAAACTTTATGTCTTTTTCGCATTTAACAAAATTTTAAATGTATGTATGTTTGTGTCATTAATAATTAAAAAAAAAAGTATTCTAAGGGAATAATATTTCTGCTCAAAGAAACTACACCACGCGTATAAAATTATGCCTATATATAATATAGTCAACTGATCTCGTAAAGTTCATTTAGCATAATAATTCTTCGCTAACACGGCACTAATTTCGATTTGTTTACGAAATGGCGCCACCGATTGGTCTATCTCTGTAATTGCTGAAAGATGCTTTTACAAAACTTCGAAAAAAATAGCACGTTTAAAAATTTAAACATCAAGTACTAGACCATTATCAGTAATTTTATTCTAATGTCACAGATATTTTTAGCTATTGTATGTGAATAATGCTGTTCCTAAATTAGTAAGGGTATAAGTTTTTAGTAAAAAAATGCTTCATTCGTCTTGCCATAATTTATTATGGTTTATGTAAAACGATCAGACCATTATTTAGGTACCTTTCTACGTCTTCGAACGGAATTACCGACGTTCCTAAAATCTCATCGTACATAACGTAAGTGACGTGTAGCTTCAAAGAGAGCTGCCCTACACTGCGCCGCTCCGATCAGGAAAAAAACGGACAAGTGCACAAACCACTCATCCGAGTTTTTCATGTCATTCCGGACCGGAAAAAATCGGACCGCCGGACCTGAAAATTCAGTGTAGTGCACAAGCGCCCTTATTGTGGTTGTAGGACCCAATACAAACGTATTACTAATTAAGGACGACGGCAGCGTAGGATGCAAAAAAATGATTTTCCCCAAAGATATTTATTAAAGATAAGAAAAATTACAATTAATTTTATTATAATTAAAAACTATTGACAATGTTCGGTGTAAGAATCAAAGTGAACAGAAATTCTTGCGTTAGCCGCAGGTTGCGACCCGATGCCTCACGTGTTGTCGAGTCAGCGCCTCGTGACGGCGCTGTCGCAATTTATTATTTATTTCAGGTAATCGAGGTATCTGCTGCATCGGCGTTTCCGTTATAACGCGAGGGCATGTCTGATATTTTATTGGTGGTTGTTCTTTATTTGACTAACGTTTAATGTGAGTGTTTAGGAATAATAAAACATTCATAAGAAGGGTAGCATTTACCGTCAGAGTAAAAACAAGTTTGAAAGTCAATAAATTAATTTTCAAACGATTGTTACGTGAAAAACTTCTGAATTCTCCAACTGCTTGTAATTAATCTTATATTTTTATATTTATGTATGTATGTATTACATGTTTGTAAATATATATTTATGATATGTAACATGTTTGTTATGTTGATTATTTTTTATTGTATATGTATGTTATTGACTTTATTATTCTTTTTGTAACACCGCCTTATTAAAAAAATATTCCACAACTTTCCGGTTGACTAGTAGAGAATGCCTACTGGCATTATGTCCGCCATTTGTATGCTTTATTTGTGCAAAGAAGTTTATTTAAATAAATAAATTGTCAAACTTTGAAAAGACTAATCAGAACCATACTAGATAATGGATCCTTCAACCAATATTTTATAAAAATAATCGTTTCATGGCAATATTATCTACATTTACCGGAAAAAGGACAATGACTGGACTATTAAGGAAATCGCCTCGATCATCTGTGAGTAGCTGGATTAAGCTGGCGAGTTCATCGTAATGCTAAAATGTATCCTCTACAAAAAGTCATAGTCGAATCGCTGAGGACATTCACCCCCTGTATAGGAGTTTACTGTCTTCTCTAGTGAACGAAGCAGCTCAAAGGTCAGATCAGAAGCTGGTGCAGTGGTGGTTGTAAACCAACTGGAGTGTGGTGCGTTACGCGATCCCTCTCCGACGCCTCTCTGTTATGAAGAGATCTACCTGGGATTCCACTCTGGTTCCCTCGCAGATTTCTTCCACGGAGTATTTTCTAGTAGAAGTCAATTGACAACTGTAATATGACTACAATTTCCCTAGCAGCCATGGTTGCAGCAAGTTCGACAAGTCACCAAAAGTCAATCAGCTTGCGTGAGAGCTTACGCTTCAGAGTTACAATTGGCACTGATTTAGCCTTTTACGCCCGTCGTGTTTAAAGTACTTACGTATTGGTAAATACTTTTGGCTTATTATAAATACGATTGGCATACTTAGTCTTTTTTATTGGGAATTTGAGAGAGAGATGTTTAAATTAATTATAATTTGCAATCAATTATAAATTTATTATGAAATGAAATTAAATTAAATACTTACTTATAAAAAATAGTAGTAGATAATTATAAAATATAAAGATATCAATTAAAGTAATACTTACTGTTCCATGATTTAAACTGTTTTAATACCTATTTGGTTTTGGAGTATAACACGTTTGAAATTAATAATCAAACAGTGTTTATCATAGTATTATTTTCACACATCTAAGCGAGTTTGCAATGACAATGAACTAGTAACAATAAGTTGTTGAGGTTTTGTATGGTGCATGATTCATCTCTGCAATTTTAGGGTTCAAAGGACCGACGAAACTAAATAAAAGTTTGTAATAATAAATTATTACCAACTCAACCTAATATATAAAATTCTCATGTCACAATTTTACTAACCTACCAAAGCATGTCCGGAAGCAGCTTGGCCGATTTTGATGAAATTTTATATGCTCAGTAGGTCTGTGAGTATAATATTATCTAATGTTATATCCTTAAGTGTAGTCAACCCCAAATTTATGTGGCAAGACATCTATTGCATGTTCATCTAGAATTTACTCATAACCACAATTTACTGGTCAGTTAAAACTAAAATTTATTTCAAAAAACTGCTTAGAAGATGTCGATAATATCGACGGTTGGATCCAGACCTAACGAAGGATAAATATTATACAAGTTATCTTCTTTTTCTCTCGAACATAAACGAATTAAGTATTAACGGACAGCATTAGCGACATATTAGGAGTAAGCACACTCGATACTTTCGTAAAGTAGGTATTATGGTGTGTGGAAACTCGTGTTGAGATAGGCTTATCGTACTGCAATCTAAATGAATAAGAATTCTTACTAATCTAGATCAACTCGACTCATGTAGACTATACTTTATTAAGCTCATATATAAATATTAAGTCTAATATATTTTTAATAATAATAATTAAAATTAATAATTTCTCGTTTGTAATTATTTTACTATGTATCTTTTGTTATTATTTTATTCTATCTACATATTGCAATACGCCAGAAATATCTTCATAATATAAAAATTCATTCAGTTTCATTCCCTTACAGGGCGTCACTTGCCCTTGAAGGTATTCATACTTATAATGAAATTTAACAAACAATAAGTTTGTAATGTGACACGAAATGAATAATTAAACATTCATTCTCTATCTTTAAATAAAACAACAAATTATTTAGATAATCTTTTATTTAAAAAATATAAAAACATTAATAAATATTCACTAAAATATACCTTATTACCCAATAATAAAAGACTAGGTTAAAGCACCATTTTAACATACTTATTCTGTCAGTAAAACGATCATTAAAATTATCAGTGGTTTAGTCAGATGCACAAAAGTCCATTAAAATTTCCATTAGTTTAAAGCGACATTACCGATACAAATTTGACATTATTTAGAGCTTAAAGGCGTCGTTAACAACATACCATTAAAGCCACATTACCGATACTTCAAATTTAGACTATTCATTGTAGTTTAAGTCGTAATTAAAATTTAATGGAACCCGTTTGTGCAATTGGTTAATGTCACATTTACAAAAACTTGCAGTGTGTCTTACGTCAACATGCACCGACCCTTAAATTGGAATGTAAAAATAGCATTATAGAATTTCAAGATACATCTCGCGTTAATTTTTCAACAAAACAATTGTATGCAGGACCCAAGCATATTGTTATCGGACTTCAATAATTAGTATTGTAAACATTTCTCATTTGTCTTCATGTTACAGAACAGTGACAAACTATGAATTAATTAAAAGTTTTAAAGCTAAACACAATCACTACAAAATGTTAATTGACTGTCATAAGATTTGTCGGTCTGACTTGTATACAAGAAAATAAGTTGTTTGAATTAATGACTGTTTTGATGAAATGTTAGATTTTTCTTAGGATTCAACAGCAAATATGGAACGGATATCATGAGGTTTTTTTTTTATTAAATCCACTATGATATAAATATTTTATAACTGAACTTAATAATTATTATTATTACTAGTTGAGCAATTAACAACCCATATAATAAATTGTATGAAAATGAAATGAAATGAAAATATCTTTATTCAAGTAGGCTTATTACAAGCACTTTTGTATCCAAAAAAAATTCTCCCCTACCACTTCTTTAGGACCTCTTTTAGCTGACAAGAAGAACAAGCGAAAGAAACTTACCAGCTCTTTATCATAAGTAATGACATTTATATAAATCATGTCATTACCAAAATAATACATATATTGAATAATAATAAATACAAGTTTCAAAGTCTGTAGAAAATTGGTCAAATTTGCCGCCCTAGGCTCCAGCCTACTGGTAAATCCACCACTGTTACATTAATAATTTTATTACACTTTGTGAAAACATGCAAACAGTATAGAAAAATAATTTGAATGTTTGCAATAGATTTTTTCGTAACACTAGAATCGTATAAGAAATGCTTATTATTAAATGCCAGAGTTCTACAAATTCAATTTCATTAAGTATAAAATTATAAAACTGAATCTGATAAAAACTTTTACAAGCTATTAAAAACAACATAGACAAGAACTTTGCAAGTGTTCAGCTAATACAGATGAAAATAGTTTCATAGTATGAAATAAATAAAAATTGGTGTGAAGGGATACCAAAAAATAAGCATTGATTATAATGAAATCTATTTATACGTTATTCGTCATTAAGTACATAACAATAGGCCTTGCTACAAAACATAACCTAAAAATTTATCAAATAGATGGCGTTACAGCCTACTTGAAAGATATCGAAGACGAAATGAAACGATACAATCACCTCGAAGAAGGAAAAAAGTATGTCTACTTAATACTTATATTTATGGATACAAAACACCACTACAAAACACCACAAAAAAATTAGTATGGAAAGATCTTCAATTGAATATTACATATAATGTCAAAGAAGATAATCCAATACATCCCGTAGATGACATTTTTTTAAATATTTTCGTTTTATAGATACACAAGAAATATATCTAAAAAATATGGTTCAAATATTGTTTAAATCTAATTTTTTTTTTCATATTTTCTCGCGGAAACGCCATTTTCTGTCATGGCGTAGCTATGAAGTTACGGCCCTCTAAAACTAATATCGTTCTACATATACTTAAGGTTTAATTCTCGAAGTTTTGATATGAGTAGAGGGGCGTGACGTCGCGCGCTGTTTGCGGTCACGTGATAACGCGAATAAAATATATGTATTTTTCATAATAAATTTAAGCAATATAAATATAATATGCATAAAAGTATGACTATCGGTAAAAGTATATTAAACATTTCCAGAACAAAAAAATGTAGTTATTTCCGTTTATTGTCCACCCACACCCATATTATCACTAAAACTAAAAATTGGAGAATATTTTCAGAGGAAAATTAATATATTATTTGTTGTAGATCGATGACTGATTGACATGGACAGCAAAATGCTGTTAGTTTATTTCATGAAAATCAAGTATTTAACTTTTTTCAAAGGATTTGAGGCCGTGGTAGAAAAATGGAAAGATTGAAACCCAAATGCCTGTCGATATTTTGAACAAAAGTTTACGATAAAAAGTATAAGTGTTTTAAAAAGGTTATTGGCATTTTACTTGTTTAATAGAGAAAAAACTGGTGGACATGACGTCACTGGAACACAAAACAAATTGCGTCCAGAATACAGTCGCAGTTGTAACAAAACGAATCGGGAACCCAAAGTGAAAGTGCGCTAGAAAAGGGTTTTCGCCGACACGAATGTAAAATGTTGAAGGTTTACACTGAGTCAGTTGGGTCAGGCAGAAGAAGACAGATGTATAAGTAGTTAATAGATTGGCTTAAAGTGTTCATACAACGTTATATTTTTTATATACAAAAATCCGTCGAGGCCAATAAAAGATTATACGACTATATCACATTCGTAGCTGTACCGATCGAGGGTATAACATAAATCATGGCTAATATTTTGAAACTTGAAACGTCACAAATGACTTTTGATGGTCTTCACTGGTTTAGACCTATATTTCCAAATATCCTGAAAAAAAAAAATTTAAGTACTACAAAATAAATGCAATCTAAATATATTATATAACTCAAAGGTGACTGACATAGTGATCTACCAACGCACAGCCCAAAACACTGGACGGATCGGGCTGAAATTTGGCGTACAATTAGATGTTATGACGTTGGCATCCGCTAAGAAAGGATTTTGATCAATTTTACCCCCAAGGGGTTGAGATAGGGGATGAAACTTTGTATGAAACTTTGTCAATTTTAAACCGATCGGGCTGAGACTGCATGCATAAAGCTACTATAACGTAGGCTTTCCCTAGGAAAGGAATAAAAAATAAATAAATCACTCCTAAGGGGATAAAATAGGGGATGAATCTTTATTCAAGATATTTGATACGATATAATTAATAAATATTCGTTAGAAATGCTGCTCTAAATAACTTTACCACGCGGACGAAGTCGCGAGCAAAAGCTAGTAAATAATAAATACGTTTACTTTTTCTAGGTTTCATGATTCATGACAAAGAATATTTTTACCTATAACAAATTATTACCTGACAGAAAGCAATTACCGAACTTTGTTTTTAACACAATTTTGCTTTTTGTAAATATTCAGTTAAAACCAAGGTAAAAAAAAAGCACTGTATTTATAATACGTTATTATTTACCTCATAGCTCAGTTCTAATCCTCTTCTCTTTGCTTCTTGCACAACTTCCTTGGCAATCGGCTCTTGAACTGTTCCTTCTACGTTTATATACGTAACATCGTTACTGGCAAAGTGGCACGATATAGACTTGCGATAGTTCTGTGGAACAAATATCACACTTAATAAATATTTAAATAAAAATATTTACATTTAATTTCTTAACAGTTTTTTTATGAGGTATCTAAATCGTTCTTTTTACTTGTTATATTCAAGTTTAATCAAAAGTACTTTGTATCTTATTCAAGGCTATTTTCAATTAAATACCTTTAGATAAATTATCCAGACTGTAAAGAAGGTTGTTTGCCAGAAAAGTGGTCTAGTTTCTTTATCGTGTGATAACTACTATATATTTTTAAAGCTGTTGAAAGCAACGGATCTGAAACTTCTAAAAAAGATTCTAACCAATTGAGAACATCGTTCTTTATTTAAGATAAAAATATAATAAGAACTGTATTACACGCGCCTAAATTTATTCAACAGGTGGATCAAACCGGGTTTATGAGAAACACGGAAGTATTACTATTTATTACGATAGTTTAAATTTTTATTAAGTATAAAGCAAGAAAACATGTTTATTTTACGATGAGTTAACATTAAATTAACCTTCAATTAAAATAAAAATATAAATCAACTAATAAAAAAAGCTATAAATAATGTCCCAAGATTAATCAAATCGTCAAAAAAAAAAAAAACCCGTAAACAGAGATATTTTTTCAAATTACTCTTGCGCATTATAATAACATTTTTCTGTGAGAACTCGTTTTAACCTCATTAAAAATATTTTAATATTATTTTCATATTTTAAGTAATAATGAAAATTAAAATATATCAAATACCGGTATCCAATTATTTTATGGAAGGAATTTTAAATAGCATAAAATAATTCAATCATATCCTATATCATTGATAGTACCCACCTTGGTGATATTAGGTCCCGATCCATGAATCAGATAAGGATGGAAGAAGACAGTGTCGCCTGGGCTCATTTCCAAATGTACCCTGTCTTTTTCTAACGCCACTGTTGGGTCCGTTATTCCATGGTACAATTTACTTTGTATCTAAAATGTTACTTAAAAGATTATTGTATATTCAGCGTTTTATACCGGATACAAATTCACATATACATTCGCAGCTACTATGAAACTTAACTTGGGTGTACACCTCACACCCAAAATAAGTTTAGTCACATCCTATGTACATAGTTGAATTCTCTAAGTTCTAATATGATTAAGATGTGACGTCACGCGCTGTTTACGGTCACGTGACAACGAGCACAAAATATTTGTTTTTTTCGTAATTAATTTAAGCGATATTTGAAATACAATAAGCACAAAAGTGTAATTATCAGTAACGGTACATTAAATACTTCCAGAAAAAAAAAATGTATTTATTTCCGTTCACTGTCCACACCAGTATATCGTTCACTGAATAGTAATAATATCAGTGGCTCAATTCATTTTTTTTAGCATAACAGTTAAATCGTTTGTATTATATTATTACTGTTAAGTTTTTTATTTTTTCTTTAAATTTTCTATAGGATGCCACCACAATGTTGTGGCGTTATCTCGAAATAATGGTTTTTGAGTTGTGCCAGTGTAGTATTCAGTGAGCGATATAGTGTATGCACCGACCGAGGTGTACGCGTGCGTGTACAGCCGCCGCGGCCGGTGCGTGCGCGGCAGCACGTACAGGCAGCCGTTGCGCGCGGTGCACGCGTCCACGGCGGTCCACGCCGCCACTATCTTGTCCGCGGGACGAAACGGGAAATAATACAAATCCTTCAAAAAAATATACATCCGATTAATTTAAGATTCTTAATGCAAGCCTTCATGCATCGATGTGGCATTTTTTCTAATGAAATGTTTCATGATCTCTCATAGAAGTATCATCAAATTATTTTGACTAATAATAATAAATGCTATCAAGTCGAAACTCTTTATTTAACCCAAAAAGGTACATTTCGTTTCATTTGGCTAATTTTACATTGTACATAGTGTGGGCTCTGTTGTTGCGGATTACATAACAACAAACTTGACTTGCCCACTCGATCAATGACGTGCCCACAATATTGTGCCGCGTGCCAATGGTTCGCCATCCCTGCTAGTGACTAGCCTATCAAAACTTTTCCATTATTTGAACTGCCTACTTTGATTATATTTTATTATTACATGCCGTTGACAACAATTTTGATATAAAAAAAAAACCAAACTGATTAACTGGATTATCTTAGGCTAGTATTAGTATTTCATGTATCAAAGCTTGGACCTCCTTATATAAAAATATACGACCCTTGGACCCTCCTATCTCTTTCTCGACTGGAAAGAGATGAAATTGGTGTAGACAAAGCATTTCTCGAGTTCGTCATGCAACGCGTGCGCGTGTTGTCTCACCAGAAATTGGGTACTTTATTACTGCAAAAAGCTGTGTTTAAGCACCAAATTGCAATTGATGCATAATGTAAGCGGTCTTTCGTTAAAGTATTATTCCGACATAGGTACTTTGAGGTGATTTTTGGCACACAACGCAAATCTGAGTATTCAGAGTATTCAATGTTATTGAAAAAATAATATGACATAGAAAACACTAAAAAGTAACAATATCGTTCGTCTTGTCACCAAAAATACTATGATTTGATAAATAATAAATGACTATGAAATTAACACAAACTGTATTTTAACAGCAATACAGTTCAATATTGTATACCTGATGTGGCGGATGTTCGTCTGTCCCCGGCGGTTTGTTGATGAACATGCTGTGCATCGCGCTGACTTCATCACCGATGAGCTGCGTCACCACATTCAATAATCGAGGGTCCTCTGCATAAGTTGAGAGGACATCATCGTACAAAAAGTCTTGAATCTGCAAATCAATTCATTGACATAAAAATTAATTTGCCATAATAAAAATGAAATTAATATAAGAACTTTTTGAAATTAAAGTAACGGTTTTTACAGTAAAGAAACATAAAAATTGATGATGCAGATATTTAATTCTTCTTGCTCGTTCTTCTTATCAGCCAAAGGACCTCTTGAATGAAATGGTAGAATCAGAAGTACTTTAAACATATTTTGAATTTGACCTCATGTTGGTATTGAAAGCTAATGTAATGTATAAATTGTGGCTAATTATACCTTGGAGCTATTAATATAGAAGTACGATAGACATGGCTGTCTCTAAATTTAGAAAAAGGGCAGTTCGTGTTAACATATCAGCCTCTATTTACTCATGCATGCATAATAAAATACAAAATATTTCTCGGATAATAGAATCGACTTCAATACCGAAAGTTATTTGAAGATAGCTGAGATACCGAGATCTTTTCTCTTACTAGTCGAATAACGTCTCGATACCCGATGTAAAAATATTCAAATTCCTTGACGTCTGACTTACTTACTGTATGTAGTATAATATGCTTATTGAACTATATGATTTGCAATTCTTTTTTTAATTTTACGCCATAAATTAAATTAACGCCATATTTATTTATGCCATATTTACGATAATATCTCCGCACCCACCTCAGATTTACGATAATATTGAATACACAACACCTACCTAATTGAATTGTTAACTGTAATAAGAGGAAAATTCTCAATATTTCGCGCGAATGTTTTTTCTCTTTATCCACACCTTCTTTGCACAAAGTAGAGCTTGCATTCTATTCTGAGATCACTGTTTTAGTTCTATTTTCAAAACAAACTATTATGTAGTCTTTTTTATTAAATAGTAATATAAAAAGACTTTATTCATTAGTATTTTATTTATTCATAAAAACTTTTTCATAGAATTTTTGTTCATAGACAAATATAAAACAAAACTTTTTCCTATAGAGCGAGGAATGTCATTTTCGCCCCAAGTTTTACAGAATTTCAAGCAAGAGTAATGAAAAATTACCCTTTTATACCACTCTGCTTTAAGAATAAAATTATTATTCAGATAATCAAATAGTGTGCACATGGCTGCACGTTAGACTACCCAGGGCCGCCACATCTCCAAGTCGGGCCCGGGACCAGATTCTGGCCACCCCCCCCCCCCTTTTTTTTTCGTCGCGCCTCTTTTACTAGAGAGCCAACTCTAGTATATAGATAGCCATATAATCATTGTTAAAAAAAACTATTAAACCTTCTCTAACTCTACTTCTAACCAAACAATAAATCATTTATATTTCCTACCAAGGTTCAGTGTTCGAATAAGAACACTTGAGGGGACTGAACTATTACATCACTACGTTTTATTCTACATTTAATTTAATTTTAATCAAATAAATAAAAGAAAGTGTAACTTAAGAATTGAAAATTCAAGTATTCATAATACCAACCAATTATTTAATTACCAAGTAATTACCAACCAATTACAAAACCATAAAAATGCCATAACTTAGCATGAAACGAAAATTCTATATTCGATCAGTCATAGAATTTTTATTTTAACTACTTTAAATACAATTATTGGTGAATAGACGCCGTATTCAGAGAAGTTCCAATTTACTAATTCCTCAAAAGTACGATTGTGGCAGAAATTATGATTGACTAAATTTTATATAATCATTAATCAACACATATAATTAACTTTATTTTAATGTTATGGACGGATTAAAAAGGAAAGTCTCTGTATACAAGATGGCTGAAGGAATTAGTTGAAACAATGATTAAATCAAATATAATCTTATCAGGGCCCGTCAAGTGTAATACACTCTGTTTTATATAGGCCTAAAAATGCTAAAATACTTTATTTACTAAATACAGGACCGGACCGGGCCCCCCCTGGGCCCGGGCCCGGGGCAACAGTACCCACTTGCCCCCCCCATGTGGCGGCCCTGAGACTACCACAGTATGTCTCACATTTCCTCAAATAATTTTGAACTCTACCTACGAGGTATTAAGGTCTAATATCAAGTGGAGCAATTTGACAGTAATGTTTAGCCTGTCGTGCTAGAACTTACAAGATTTTCTTGAATACATTACATTGATAGATAAATACAGTAATTTTGATCATTGTGATATTTATTAATTAAATCTATTCAAATTTCATTCAATGACTTCAACGAATGGGTGAACATATTGACATTCAAATGGGTAACTTATTGATATTTCTGTTCATACTAATTTTACTAACGTAATACAGGTGATCTCCCGTTTTTCTAACATTTTTTAATTAGTTTCAATTAGTTCCAGTAATTCCTGAGATTTTTAGAGTTCAAACAAACACTCTTCAGCTTTATTATTAGTATAGATGCAAAACGCGTAAAAGCTTTGTAAACTAAATCATCATCATCATCATCACCAGCCCTTTTACATCTCCCATTGCAGGGGCTCGGGCCTTCCTTATGGATGGTTAAGGAGGATGGGCCATGACCCTCCACGCTAGCCCTCTGAGTATTCGAGGGTATTAAAGACTGCAAATGGAGCTGGGACCAACGGCTTAATGTGCCTTCCGAAGCACGAAGTAGCTCGAGGTAATAATTTTTTGGTCACTCATCCCGTGACCGACCCTTGCAAAAGTTGATTAACAACAACGATCGCAGGCCGACGCGCTTATCCTCTACACCATGCTGGACAGTTATTTGAAATTTATAATCACAGTATTATTTTCTCATTAACCTCCAAAACTACATATCACAGCAAATCATGCCTTTTTGATTGCCAAATAATTAATATACCTATTTGAGTTAAGGATTTATTTCAAAATCCTAGTGAGTGAGCTTCTGGACTGTTAGACACCAAATTTTGATACTTACGCTATCATGAATGGAATAATCACAGCTATAAAATAGGTTCACGCTGCTATTTTACCTTATTAGTATAATCTTCTGGTTTCTTCTTACTATCTTTCAATTTATGCTCAGTGGCTATAGTCATTTGACCTTTAGGTACAATACCATTGCATATTTGAAGAAATCTTTTCCTGGAAAAAACATGTTTGATGTTTATACCATTTGTTTTCACTAATTCAGATATTAAAACAAAGTAACATTTTTGTAACAAATAACTTTTGGATGGATATGTCCAATTTCAAAACCTAAGAGTAGTTACAATTGTTTCGAGTGACCATGCACCTGGGTGCATGGTCACTCAAAATAATTGTTTTACTAATTAATTAAGTTTAGTTTAGTTTTACTATTTTTTTTACTTTTACCAGTAAAAAAATTAATTGTTTTACTGGTAAAAGATTCATTCAAAACTTCTTTAATGTCCTCTCTCTCTCTCTGTCCTCTACTGAGACATGCTTAGGGATAGAATAATATCGGATAATAACACTGAACTAACCCATCATGCCAATCTGTGAATGACTACAGACGCAAATGGGATCAACCTTTTAGCATTTCTTCTGAAGAGTTTCTTCTAAATAAACAAGTTTTAAATGAATTATATACCCTTCAAAATAGAGCCTATTAACTGAAATGATACAAATTTGCAAGACACCAAAATAAAAGATTTTCACAGTAAATAATTAGATAAACACTTATATCTTATTGATTGTATTAAAAGATTAAAATCAATCACAAAGATTATTAAATTTGCTTTACCTGTGAAGCTTTTGAATCACTGCCCTTTGTACCAAGGCATACAAAGAATGTTTATTATTATTATATTATATTTTATCAATTTTTCATTCACAATTCTATACTGAAATTTCATGGGTTTGAGTCCATCTCAGAGTGCCAAGGACAAAGTGGACTTTTGAGCGTTTTTCATTAAGTATAAAAATGTATTATTTTAGATATCCTTCTAAGAAAATAAAAACCAAAACTTTTACTACAAACATATAAAGGTGGTGAAATTTCTATAAAATTTAGTGTTAATTAAGTGAAACATTTTTATAATAACTATAAAAATAAAATTGTAGGTAAGGACTCTAATATGTATAAAAGAATATGCATTTATCAACATACTTGTAAGAGTATAATGTTTCAAAGTCTAGAAGCTGACCGATGACCAGATATCCATTTTGCTGATAGAACTCTATTTGTTGAACAGATAATTTTGCCATGGTGATATCTAAAAACAAAATATACCTTTAATGAAAACAATGAATATCAAATGTTTTAACCAAAGTTACTTTTGAAAGAAAGCCAAAAATCTTTATCAATTTAGTTCATATTTATCAGTGTTTTATTAATAAACAAGGTTTGGATTAATTTTAGACTGAGACTGCAAAATAGACTTAGCAAAGGCTAACCTAATATGAGATTCTAAGGGAGTAATATTTACTCCTAAAAGGTAGTAGTTTGCTAATTCTCTATAATATGAATTTGGACTAATACTTAATAATTTTAGCGTAAATTTACTCTGGCGCTAAACTTTGTTTATTAATAGCACTGTATGAGTTTAGATTATATAATCTTTATAAATTAATGAACTCCACAATTAGCCTATTATATTTTCGCTCTGCTTTCCGAAAAAAAAATTAACACATAAATTTGCTTAGAAGAAATATAAAATATCTTACACAATCTTCCAATGAATAAATAATGCAAAATTTTACACAAGCAAAGTTGCTGTTTTATAGATATCACATCAAGATAATATTTGTTTTTATGACCTTGAACTGTGACACGTATTATTATACGATCTGTTTTAAAAATTAAATTACAATGCCTGTGAATTTGTACTGTTAAATTAAAATTATTTGTGCAACAAGAATAAAGCTAAAGGTTATAAGTTGATCGAACTAGAACGAACAATAAAAACATGCACAATCGTGCAAAACTTATTCGAGATTTTCAACATGTTATGTTTTTTTATTCGGGTTGACATGTTTTGCGTTTTAGTGTAGGGTTGTGCTTTGTATGAATGAATTGAATCAATAATCAATTTTGAATCGACTTGAACCGTTAGAGCGCTTGTGCACTATACTGAATTTTCAGGTCCGGCGGTCCGATTTTTTCCGGTCCGGAATGACATGAAAAACGCGGATGAGTAGCTTGTGCACTTGTCCGTTTTTTTCCTGATCGGAGCGGCACAGTGTAGGGCAGCTCTCTTTAAAGCTACACGTCACACACGCTAGGTACGATGAGATTTTTGGAACGTCGGTAATTGCGTTCGAAGACGTAGAAAGGTACCTAAATAACGACCTGATCATTTTACATAAACTATAATAAATTATGGCAAGACGTAAGCATTTTTTACTACTATCGGATGACTACTATCAGATGTAAAAACTTATACCTTTACTAATTTAGAAACAGCATTATTCACATACAATAGCTAAAAATATCTGTGACATTAGAATTTATCTATAATTATCAATTATCTAAAAAAATTTGATAATGACAAATTTCCAAGCAAACTTTTATTCCCTATTTTTCGCGATAAAATGTAGACTATGTTCTTTCTTAAAGTTAAGTCTACTTACTATATTAATTTCCATTAAGATGGGTTCAGTTGTTTAGGAGTCTAAGCGTAACAACATTTATTTATCTTACCTTAATTTCTCGATACTTTTAATACGATTCTAAAATCTAGCTATGTATCGATACTAGAACCATACACTGATCAAATTAGAACTATACCAAGTTTGTCAAAGCATATGCAGTGATATTTACCAACTATATTTAATCGACATATAAACTATAGCATTTTATAATAAATATCGATTATAAGTGTATTGGAAATTAACAATATCGCCGAAATAAATATCGATTATACACAAATCGTTTATTTTTTCCCAAGCCTATTCCTTATGAATTTTCCGGATCGCGGACACAGTAGTGCACAAGCGTAAACACGTTTTTCATTGCCGCCATCACGGACCTGAAAAAACCGGTCCGGAATAGAGAAAAGTAAAATCCCGGATGGTAAAATTCCTGACAGTGCACATGCTAGCATTACCTATATATGGCCTGACATATCGGACCTGAAAAAATCGGACCGCCGGACATGAAAATTCAGTGTAGTGCACAAGCGCCCTTAGAACTGGGTGAAAGGATGTACCATACGGCACAGGGATTTTCAGTGAGCTAGTATAACAAGCAGTTATACAAGCTATAGTTATCCCTATAGTCATAATTCTTGCGAATTAAAAAAATAATTCTGTCAACAAACTGAAGTCCGGGGGGAGTTGTAATCGTATCGAAATATTCCAAACCCAAATACTAATATGAAGTGCTAACAGACCATATAACTTGTTCGCTCCTTATAAAACACGGCACGGTATATTAAATTTTTTAGAACTAGCTTAGCAGAGCTTAAACATAGTCTAGTATAATTTTCCAATTTATGATTGAAGAGAGCTAAGATCATTAAAAGGTTATGTGGCGACTAATACATAGCAACATCCACAGAACACGGAAAAGAGGTTAGAAAGGCGATCATGCATCTTTTGTACGAAAACCGATGTCGCCAGTCTTGGCCCATTTTTAGTCCGCCGTACATCAGACGAAATATCAGACCAATTATCCAAAAGATATGCACACACTTGCATTTTAAACAATAAACCAATAAACCAATCACGCTCAACCATAACAGACATCTATAGTGCGCAATAAACGTGTAAAAGCCATTTTAATTTGACATATCACACTAGTGATTGACATAAAGCTATTTACTATCGACATTGAAAAACAACAAGTCGATTAATTGAATGGATACTAGAGTAATGATTTCTTTATATTATTTTGGATATACATTGAATTGAATTGATTAAATGAGACATTATCTTTTTTTTAGATATTAATTCTTAATTAGTTGGTTGATTCAATAAGAAATATTTAAATTACTAATGAACTAACATTGAATCGATACTAGTTGAGCTTAAATATATATTTACATATAAATATGTTTGTTTATTAATAATAATAAAAAAATACTATCAGTACAATAAATTGTTGCTATTGGAACTTATTCTGTACGGATTCCAATGATTTAAAAAGTATTGTTGTTATTGGTTCAAAATAAAAAAAGAAAACTGATTTTCTGTTACAAAATTAAGAATATAAAAACAGACTCATTACCTCACTCATTATTAAATTAATATACAAACGCATATCAAAATTAGTCAATATGGTTAGTCTCTGATTAAATTCATTTTTTATTACCACTATTTTTCGTCCATACTTTTATTTAGAGTTTACTAACTAACACACCAAGAATCGATTAAATGTTTCCAGGCACTTCACTACCCATCTACCGTAATCTATTATGTTGCTATTTAAAACGGTGTTTTCGCGATGTTCTTTACATTACGTGCTTAGTACGACGCAATGTAATACATATGCGCACTTCTCCAGCAATGTATATTTTCTTGGAAATATTTTTTGTGATTCACACTTTTGATAACATTTCACGAATTTCGACTAAAAATACTAAATTTGAGAAGTGTTCTACTTACTAATGGAAAGAAATTCTTCCTTTGGACCTACTTGAGGATGGGCTTCTTGTTTTGCAATGAATAACTGCGCAAGTCGGCATTTTTAACACTTTTAGTGGCGGGTTTCACAGTACATACAGCGCGCGCGTTCGTGAATGACTAAACATCGCGATCGCGTGGTGAAGTCACGATCCTGTACATTTGTCCAGGATCGTGGCTACACTGCCACGCCCACAAGGCCCTTCTAACGTCTTTCTGTGTTCTCTGGCAACATCTAACACATCGCCACAACAATCGATAGCAAGACGAACTGCAAGGACTTCAAACACATAGCAACGAGATGGCGCCGTCACGTTTAAATAAGATATAACAAGTCATTTAGAGCAAAGGAAACCTAAATAGCCCACGATACGTTTCATTACCAATTTGCATACGTAGAATGTCCAACCTACATCGGTTGGACCGCGGTCCCCGGGCTAACAACACTTAACTTGGAGGAAGCCAATTATCTTTAATCTCTCTTCCCAGCTGTCTCCATCATTCAGTAGCACCACACCTTCACCGTTGCGGTTCCTACTAACTATCTGGTTCGCCAAAAATGCCAATTTTCTTATTTTTTTTATTAATTTTATTTTGTCAATTTAAATCTGTACATTTATATCTAAGAGGGATTTTAATAAACCTTTAAGAACAAACGTTACGAGATAATGAAATTCGACTATCAAGCAAATTAAGGAGGATCGAAGGAAATTATACAGGTTCCACAGGTAAAATAAAACTTTCACGTACTTTCTTAAGGGACGTAATAAACAGATATATGTAATAGAATTCAATCTTGCTGATTATAAGTCACAAACAATCAGTCAGTATACATGGCCATTCGCTATAAAATATCATATAAAAGAAGAGTATTCTCCGAATTTGTTACAGAATAAGTAATGAAAAATTCCGTGCTCTTTTCATTCGGTAAATATTTAACAAAATCCTACCAAAAATATAAGAAATCAATAGCTTTATATTTAACAAATATACTATAAAGCTGTATTTAGTATTCAGCATTCTCACAAAACTGAAATATGCGTCGAAATATCAGAAACATAGCAAGGAAATTATACTTTGATGTGTGGCACCAACATTTTATTAAATTAACTATAGGTTTTAATGATTAAATGGCAAAAACTATTAAAAGCGGAGTTCCATTATCATAATAATTATTAGTAATACCTTAACTTAAAAGTAATGTCCACTTGGTCGGACGTAAAAAAACACCGCTTTTGCGAATTACTAAAATTGAATTTACAAACTTTTAGAACTATCACAACAACAATATTTTTTACACACACAGATGACACTTTAGAAATTTACCTTTTTATTATTTGAAATGTTTAAACGCAACAAATCTGTATGCTATTAATATAAATTCAACACTTTCTTCATTGAAAAATTACTAAAAGAAAGTCAGTAACTTTATGAACAGATCAGAAAGTTTATAATTGGCATTTAACTTCTCAATTTCTTGATTCAAATTGTTCCAGAGGTTCTATAATTTTGACATATAGATTTAAATGTCATTAAGATCCTCTTGAAACCAAACGTGTAACTCATTACAGACTTCATTTACAGTACCAAATCTCATTACTTTTTCGAACGTTTCTTAAAACGTTTTTTTTTTAAAGTTTTCGGAAAATAAATTGAAGTGGAAATGTGACAATTGTGCGAAAGTAAACCGTATTGGGGAGAAACAAAAGAAAACTACACACACGAGTATGCCAATGCTGCAAAACAATCAAACCAAGTTATGACATAAATTTAAATAAATCGATGGATGGATGGATGAATGGATTTATTTAAATTTAAAGGAGAAATAAACAAAGAACAATGAGTCCTTCATCTTACAAAAGTAACTAGGTCTTTAAATCTCAAATAGCCACTAGAAGTTTACCTGACATATCTACTATAAAACGATAGAGATTAATTTATTAAAGTAAAAAATCGACGTACTAAACTGAAAGTTGGAAAGTGCTCATTTGGAAATAGAAAACATACACTTAGAAAACACTCAACTACAAAACAAAATTGAAGAGCAAAACATTAAAATAAATAAGTTATCTAATGTATGTTCTTCTACCATCAAAAAACCAAAATGTAATAAAAATAAACACACAGATGTAACAGAAAACCAATATATTCAGACTGCTACTAACCAAAACCATATTGCAGTGGAAAATACACTAGAACTCACGAAAAAGGACATGAAGAAAACACCAGCTGAAAATAAAATAGTAATCTATAGATAACAACAATGTACCGATTTAGCTGTCGAAATTATAAAGACTCGTCTCACTACAAAACACGAAAATTATAAAGTAAAAGCTGTGACTTAGCCTAATGCGCCAACTGACGAAGTTATAAAAGGAAAACCTCTGTGAAAATTACAAAGTAATTTTAAGTGTGGGTGAAAATAAAAGGAATCCTATGATGCGGTTTCGCAAATTTAAACTGTAACTTTGATTTTTATTGATAAATATAGTAAATTTCCGTCTTGCAAAACAAAGCAAATATGTAATGTACTTTGGTTTACAAGACGGCTTTTTCAAAAAAGTGATTTAGTTAATTATGTTTCACCACTATAATTTACTCATATTTTCAGTCCAACATAAGACCTTGTCCTGGTAATATATTTATAATATACCTTGGTTTTCTGCACTGTTTTAGTGAAGTAATAAATTATCAAAGCATAATTTGAATCCAATTATTATTAACATTAAACATTGAACAATTTTAATCGATAAATTAACGTAACGGATACTGATACAAAATAATTATAAAAAATAAAAATTCTCTTGGCAATTAGTAAACAGTAGGTGTCGAATATGCACCACTGAAAATTGGCACTTCAGTCAATCTGTCGACCACCATAAAGATGAAAGGTTTGTTTGCTACAAATTCCTCGGGTATAATTATAGTCCTGGCAGATAAGCCTAATTCGGTAGCTGATGCAGCCACAGTTCCCTCCTCAGTAACTTCTATATCAGCTTTCTGTATAAAACTTGATACATACATTTGATAGTCGGATATATCGGGAAACCTTGCTCGAGCACTATCAAAGGCATCGCGGACACCCATATCCACTAACAGTTCTTTTAAATTGTCTAGATCAGATGAAATTTTAAACCTTGGAATTTGCACTAAAACGGTCTTCGTTCCTTCTCGCTTATAGAGATTAAAAATTGTGGCCAAACTGATAGTCTTCAGTGAATCGATCACGTTGTAGACGGTAACGTCATCATTAGGCAAGAAAAGTAACATAGAGAACCTGCCACTACTACCATACGGAAGCTCCAATACTTTAGCACGTATCTTATTAATCGAAGTCATATTAAACTCGCTGTTAATGAACATCAAATTGACATCCCCGATAGCATTCTTACGTGCATCGTAGAAAGTACTTTGCTCTGTGTCTGCTGAAGAGAAAGATTTTGTCCACGTGCCCTTAAAATATAAAGCGTCGATCAATGTAAGGTAGACACCTTCTAGATCACTTGGAGTGACAATATCTTCGACAACACCATGAGTGGCTTGTTTAACATAGAAGTTTATCTCTGCAGCGGCGGCATTGAAATCTTGAAAATTAAGAGGCTTTATGGCGCATACTCCCGTTTTTGTTATTTTTTGTCTGAAATTCTCCTTCAATTCCATAGAGCCATCGATAAATAATGAAGAGCTTCTTTCCAGCGTCGCTCCAGAATCGGTGGATGTAACTTGTTTGACGAGCTCCAAGTATTTGTTGTTGAAACATTTGTGCGCATGCAGTAGTAAAACCCTTTTCAATTCTGCGAGTGTTTCATCTGTGGCGCCTAATGATATCGTAGTTAGTAGAGACCAAGGAGACAGCGTCGAGGACACAAAGTGGCCGTCTGTATCTTCTGCTATCCTTGACAGCAGATCTATGGAAAACTCATAAACAGATCTTCTGAACAGTACTTCAGCCCGTTCTTTAGTACATTGACTGAAAACTAACGGGAAGCCGATACTTATTATGAATAATAACTTGAAGCGCGACATTTTGACTGGCCCTGGCTGTAAGATTCGAGCGACTGCTAATTATGATATGCTGGTAGAAAATAAAATTATCGTAGCGTTATCGTAGCGTTGACCTGTGCGATAATAGGGTTAGAGTTTAAGATTTACGATTGGGAGGGCCCAAATTAAGCGGCAATTTATAAAAAATGGAACGTGTCGTGAAATAATCTTGGCCATCATCTTGTTTAAAATTTTCTATAGTTTGAGGCGAAGGTAATGCATTAATAGAGCTTTTTGATTCTGTCTCCGCCTATAACACATCTCTAAATATTTGTAGCTTTTTTGATAATCAAGAGCAAACCAAAGTCTGGTTGATCTACTTAAGGATGGTAAGCTGCAATCGTGTGTAATACAAACTATCAAATAACTTTTTCATTAAATATTTGATACCCAAATATAATTTAATTTCAAAGAATACTCGGAGGATAGCTTTAAAATGATTTCTCTCGCGTCTTTATCTACTTTTCCCTACATCATTTTAACAACCCAACATGCCTTATGTATATAAACACAACTAGCAAGAGAGATAAATAAATGAATTAATTTCACAATTATATTCTTTAGTTTGACCGATTATATTATAATGTTATTTATATTCAGTTCATTGAAGTCATTTTTTTGTCTTATTTTATAAGTATTTGTTTTTATTGCTTATCAATGGAATATCATTAGAATGCATTGTGGCTTACCGTTGGTGCAAGTTGGTTGGTTCTGTCCTGCTTATAGGTGTGACGTTCGACATGTATAATTTATTAACATATTGTTTTGTTACGTATATTTGCGTGCGTTCTTGGTCTGGTTTCAAAGAAGGAAAGGGTCTAGTTGAAAATCAGCATCAGCGTCACTGATATATGATGAACTAGATGTTCAGAGGCTCGGGACACTTTTTATAAGCTTTCTGCTGTATGTTAATTTTTATTCAACTATGGCCTATATCTGTGTTGAATAAATGAATTAAAATTTGAATTTGAGATAGATACTGTGGTTTAAATATCTAAGTATGTATATGTATAAATAAACGAAAATATTAATTTTAAATACATTTTATTTATATCAGGTGAGTAATTGAAATGAAAGGTATATGTTTGTCACTCTTAATAATTGAAGTTTTGGACTTTGGCTCTGGAGAAGAAAACAAAAAGTATAGGGTCTATGAAAAAAATGCTTATATTTCGCCTAATTACGCACGTAGTTAAAGCAAAGTAAATATCACCTTACAGTAAAATAAATAATAAGATATTAAGTACAACAAATAAAAAGATTAAGTCCAATTGCAACTAGGCATTGTTTTTTTTTAGAACTCTGTGTAAATATTTGGTTTCCAAAAGTGTTTCATCGCATAAAAACGTTTAAGAACCTCTGTCATTTGATATTTATTAAAATACTCGACATTTATAATGCACATTCACAGGATATTGTACCTCAACCAAAACAATTGTCCATCTAAGGCTAATGAGACGGAACCACTGGTACGCCATTTTCATTTCACACTTGACCGGTTTTATTCGATTAGAATTAAACCAACATATGGCTTATTAAAACGAAGGTTAATAGTGTATTAGCTAGTTGCACAAAATCCATTAAAATTTTCATTAGTTTAAAGCGACATTACCAATACAAATTTGACATTATTTAGAGCTTAAGAACGCCATTAAACCTAAATGGATGTTTGTGCAACTGACCGTATGTATCGAAGCCAAGTAGTATAATCAGGCTAGCCCTTTAATTAAATGGCGCTACTCAATTCAAACGGGCTGACATTAAATCAGCCGAGTAGTTAAAGGCATCGTTCTACAATACGGCTGTGTCAAATCGGCAACGGTCTCAGTTTCTAATTAATTAATAATAAAAACAAAAAATATTTTTTTCTTAAAAACATTATTTTTTATGTATTAATATAATCGTATCTTTCCTAAATAAACATCTACAAAATTCTCCAACATAATTTTTTTTTTCTCGTTATTTTGGCTGAATACTGAATGTTAAAAGAGTGAAACTTATTAAAATATCAAATACAATGGTAAAAAACACAACTATGTATATGTACCTACAACACGTGCCAACGATAATATGGCCGATTTGTCATTTTAGTTCCACTTATTGCCGCGAAATTTCTGCGCCAAATATGGTCAATCGCAGTTTGAGAATGCAGTTTCGGTTTCGGTAGGTTTGCCACAGAAACATTTGCAAACGAGCATTTGCTATCCGCAATAGATTGATGATGATTTTAAGTTTTTAATAGGATATACAGTTACCAGCGAATTCAGCGAACAGTGTGATCAATTGATCATTTCCATTAAAATTCACAAAGTAGGTATTCTGTGACCTGACTAACTATTCTAGTATTACTAGGAAGTCAGATGACAGTGTAATGTCTACTGTGTTGGTTTATGTACTTTTTTTATATCAGTGCCCTGTTTATTTTTAGATGACGGCAGATTGACTGTGGCCTTGCTAATATGTATTGAATGACTACAGAGTTTTGTAATTATCTGACCGAAAAAATGTAGACTTTAAATTAATCTGAAAATACCTAAAACTTTGTCTGCTCTCTTGGCAATTGAATGTGGTTATTATGATAATGCAAATAGAATTCGCCTTTTCGTATCGGCAATTAAGTTAAACAAAAGAAATAATTATCAAAACTACTTTGCACAAATAAAGCGTACAAATGGTTGAATTAACGCCAGGAGGCACTCTATACCAGTCAACCGGAGAGTTGCGTATCACATAGAGACTTCAATAAGGCGGTGCTACACAATAATAAAGTCAACATAAATACTTATATAATACAAAACAAAATACTATCGAAATAGAATTGTATATAATAGAATATGCATAACAAAGATATTACATATCATAAATAAGCATATATACATACATAATTAAATGACGGCGATAAAAATTGAGAGCTATTCTACTAGATTTAAATTGTCTAACTTGTTATATATTGTCTAAATCACTTAATATCGAATGGAACAGAATAATTCCGCACTGATTGATCACCACCAGCAAAAACTTGGAGACGCCTGTCAGATTTACAATAGCAATTGCTACATATGGGTAATTTACTTTATCTACTCTAAAACTTGGCCACTACTTAATATTATAAAGGCGAGAGTTCATAAGTTTGGATGTTTGTTACTTCTTCACACAAAAACTACTGAACGGATTGTGATGAAATTTGATATACAGGCAATTCTTAGTCTGTACTAACATATAGGCAACTTTGTATCCCCCAGTGATATAAATACCTCCAAGGGCGCCTATTTTTGTGAACGGTGCTTAAACGATAACATATACGAATGCCTTCTGAAGAAATGTCGGAGGGTTTTAAATTATCTAAAAAAAGTCTGCGATGACGTATATACGTACTTCGTATAAGTATATTTAAACGTTTTTTTCGTCTTTAGATGATTATTTGAGTAGGTGATATTGAATCTTTATTAAAATAAATGTGCTTATCTTAAAAAAAAATACATAAGAATTGTCTTTAACATCAAATAAATTGGATGAATAGTTTAGATTTTACTTCGATATTTTTGAGAAAATAAAATAACTTATATTGCCGCTTTTTTTGTATGAACACGATAACATACAAATTTACATAGACGAACAAAGCAATTATATTATTATTTTGCTAATAAACAGTTAGGAGAGAGTTTATTAACAAAAAAACACATATTACACATCCAGTGGCGTAGCTAGGTAACCTAGGGCCCTGGGGCAAATAAAGAAATGAGGCCCACTACTATCAAAACTGGTAAGGTTTTTTGAAGTAAAATCATTAAATATACAAATACTTTAAAAATGCTAAGCAACGTTTACCATCAGCTCTCTTTCGTGCATGGGCAGGTATTAAAACTATTAAACACTAACAACATAAATTACAATTATTTTTATACTTGGTGTAGGTATTGGGCAATAAAACAAAAAAGATAAAATTCAAGGGTTTTTGTATATTTATTTATTCATAAATACGTTGCACCAGCTTACTGTTATTTAACCTATCGCCATGCAAGCTTTTAACCATTCTCTAAAAAAATCTTGACTCGAAGTTCACAATCGCGAATCACAAAAACGCATATCGATAAATAATAATATGCAGATATCGATATCCGATCAAATTGATGAAAACATTAATAACCTGTCAACCCACACAAATAATTTAGGGGAATTCCCTATTTATAACTTTGGAATTTCTCACAACTGAGTTGCCATGATTAAACTCGAGTTGTCACCTGTCATATTTATTTTGAAAATGGGAGAAATTTTCAAAACTTGAGTTCGATTGAGATTTTCTGGTAAAGATTCGAGGGCCCCCTGAGCTTGAGGGCCCCGGGGCACTGCCCCGCCTAGCCCCTTGGTAGCTACGCCACTGTACACATCCAAGAAAATTATCAGGAGTAGTGTAGGGCTTATGTAGTTCTGGAGAAGAATAAATTTCAATATGAATCAAATCTAAGCCAATTTCGTTACTCACAATCAGTAGGCCTACTGGAAATCATAGAAAACAGACAAGGGATGTATGGACACTTCATATAACAAATCGACTTCTTTTAAACTGGGTTGGAAACAATGGTTGGAAGTAAAAAGAAGCTAACGACAAGTAAAACTTTGATTGTAATACTATCCAGAATCATACGGAAACGAAGGGAAGTTACAATAAATGCCCTAAGGAAAATGTCAATTCACACAATATAAGAAACTTGCAAGATTGGACACAGCAGTATAAGAGTATTCTGGCCCAAAAAATTATAGAAATAAATATGAGCTGTGTGCATAGGCTTTGGTATTCCATGGGGGCGACATTGTCACAAAACCAGTCAAGTGCGAGTTGAACTTGCGCAAGGAAGGTTTCTTACCGGAGTGAAAAAAAAGTGTGTCTTCGAAGTTTTATAATAAATTTAATATCACGGGTACTTATTATTAATTTTATAAAATTAAAAATATTGATGTAGCTTGGTGGCGCAGTGGATAAGTGCCACGGTCTGCGAACGTCTCTAAGTAACTTTCGTAAGGATCGGTCACGGGATGGGTGACCAAAAAAAAATATTTTCTCGAGCTACTACGTACTTCAAAAAGCATGTAAACCCGTTGGAGTCAGCTGTGGTTACAGTCGTTAATGTCCTCCAACCCGTATTGGGCCAGCGTGGAGGGCAATGGCCCATCCTCTTTAACCTAACCTAAATAACAGTTTCTACGGAAGTTTGGCATTAAAAAGTAATTTATTTTCTAGAAATGCGGTTAACAATAAATATTTGCAAAAGAAT